TTGTGGCAAAGGTGTCTCTGTCAAAGAGTAAGTACCTCCACATTCTCACAGACTGATCCTGAGTCATAGGCCGAGAGACATTTGGAACCCCACAGTCCGTTGACCTCCTGGATGTGGGTTTGGGCCCCCTCGACCCAGATGAAGGTTCTGGTGCCGCCTCCGGTCCTTCTTCCAGTGTGATGGTGACATAGTCCCGGTCCCCTGTCGATGCCGTACACGTAGCTGACCCTCCCTTGCCTCGTCCCCCCACTTGCCGGTCTCGCTGTCCATCTCGACGTTGTTCTCGGTGCGGTCGGGCTGTTCCTCCTGATCCACTAGCTCGGGTGGACCTTCGAGGCGTCCGGGAGTCCCTTATTCTTCGTCTCCCATTTCTGTACCGGTTATTGGCATGGTCCATCAGGCTGACCACATCCTCTGTCGGAGATGCCTCCGCCTCCTCAGCCCTTACCGTGTCCCGCTGGTAGATGTTCCATAGGATGCCCTCAGCTTGTGTCACCCATTCCACATAGACCTGCGGAGAGGTCGAGTCATCTTCACCTTCACTGCAAGGGATGCCCAGGGCTACACTTTGGAGGGGTCCAGCAGCCCACTGGTTGAACCCTTCGTCTTGTCGTGCCCGAACTCGGTGTCGTAGCATCCTCACCAACATGTTCATTGCCCTGCCCTCTTCAAACCAATCATAGAATGTCTCCATGAGTAGTTCCCATTGCCTGGCATAGGTCTGGGGAAGTTGGAATAGGGCCATTTCTTCAGGTCCTTCGGATGCTGGAGTTACTGGAGTCGATGAGGAGGTTGTCTTGTGCCGAACTTTCTCCCTGTGTGGCGTCCTTGAGCGTGACATCTGCCTTCGCTCTTCCCACTCTGCTGCATACCTGATCGGATCCAGCTCCATGCTTTGCCCGCAGTGCTCCAGTTCTCGTTCCATTTCACGATTTGTCATGGCCACCGGGCACGTTTTCCGGAGCCACCATGTTCGCAAGAGCCATATAGCACGTTCGAGCCACCCCTCTATGTCTTGTTCGGAGGGCCGCCTTCTCAGAGTCACCGTTGCCGCCATGGCATTCGCCACATGTCGTTCAAGAGCCCTTCGGATGCCGTCCACATAGATGAGCGTCTCCTCCACGAACTTCTGATCCTTTGTAGCGGCATGCTTGGCAGCCAACCATTTTCCCACCTGTACTGCTTCTTCTCCACGGTCCACCAGATAGCTGCAGGAGTCAAACATGTCCTCATACCATGCAGGCCACAGACCCTCGAAAGGTTCATCAAACCCTTTTACAGACAGCACAGGAAGAAGCAGAGTTGTGAGGCTCATCATGCCCACTTCCTCCATGTCCTCCTCAGCACCTTCGTCTGACGGGGAGCTCGAAGCAGAGCCTGTTGCCGTACCGGTAGTTCTTGGCCCCCATGTTCCCCTTTCGGTGTTGACCCAAGCCGCGTGGAACAACCCATAAGGGTACTGCGGCTCCACAGGTGGTAGTAGCTGCGGTTCTCTGGTGTCCTCTGGGATTTGGTCGATCGCACCTTGGTTATCTGCCATGCTGGTGTGCCCTGCCGCGACATAGTCCTGGAGGCAAGCATGCTCCACGTTCGCTGCCCATTGGATCTCCTCCGGCTGAAGGGGGCGGTCACACAAACTATGTATGAGAGTCCTCCCAAATTCATCACGAAGCGGTCGGAGGTATCGCCTGCACCAATTTGCATAGCCATCGTCCTCCCTCCGCAGGATTCGCCGCAAGACCGCTACCCACATCATTTCCCACCCTTGTCCTTGTTGTCGCAGGCGCTGGAGCTGAGACGTGGCAGTGACAAGCCACTGGCATTCCGGTAGGATGAGTCCCGTGTCGGTGCGGCGAATCGGGTAAAATCGGGGTTGTTCTGGTCGTTCTGTTCCCGCCGAGCTGGGTCAGGTTGTCCTGAATCGCCGCGTCCTTGGTCAAGTCGTCGTTCCCTAGCCGAGCTGTGAGCTCCTGTACTATCTGTCATGTCGGCCTCGTTCGATACCAAACTCACGTGCATCGGTGTCATTGGTGGTAAGTATGCCTGAGGTCCGTTGCTAGGGTGACTGGGTGCCGTCCCAAAGGAATCCGGTCCCTGGTCACATTCTTCATCATCCTGTGCGAATGCATGACTGGAATTTCCCTGCACTTGCAGGTCATTGAGTGCACAGCCGTCCTTTGGAGCAGCCCACACTTCAAACGCCAAGAAGGCCATATGAACGATGGTCACTCGGACCATCACACGGAGTGCCATGGTGCCCAGGGGCACAAGTCGAAGTAGTTCGAGTCAGCACTTGATCGAAAACATATCAGGCGTGAGGGCCTTCACAACTCGACCATGCACTGATCCGCCCTTCCCTCTACCTATACATGAACTGTGCATCTCATCTCTCACCCTTCTGTCTGTTTGAGAGGAGCGAGTAGAGGGGTCACAGGTTTGGGAGGCAGCAACGTGTTCGTACGAATTCAAGAAAACATGTGAAACTGCCTAGTCGCTCACCGGCCTAGTGATCTCCAATTGAGAGCTGCCTGCCCGAGCTCCACGGAACGTCCATCCTCGCTACCCAGGCATTCTCCCTTGCCCGCCACGCCGCACGATCATGAGCAGGGTTACGCCACGGAGCCCCAGCAACAGCATCAAAGTTTTGCTCGAGGATGTTTAACCTGGCATAATGGTGGCCTTTATGCTTGATCCCTTTGCTCTTCAGGGCTTTTTGATGGTTCCACCAGGGAAGAGTTCGAAAATGTTCAAGGTCACAACTGATTGGTGGGGAGTGAGATAGTGAAGATCTGACCCTGTGACCAGCATATCCCCAATATCGGCGTAGCCACATGGTGCTCCAGCGCTCAAGCCCTGCTGCATGCAACGCCGCCCTCGCTCCCCTGAATGCCCGTTGACGAAATTCGGTCCATGTTTCTTCCTTGGTCTTCGCGAACCTAAGAAGCCACACCATGAGCTGCAGTTGAGCAGAGTTGAGTGCTGTCATTGCTGCTTTGTCCGGCGGGACCGAGCACAGGAACCACAGGGCCGTGGCCCCCACCACCCTTTGCATCACCCTGGCACGCTGCTTCATATTGCTCTTTGCCCTGAAGATGTGCTTGAGTTCCCAAAACTTGGATCTAGCCCTGGATGCTGCTGGCGAGACAAGCTCATAAATGGACATGCCAACTCTAAGTGTGAGGCCCATGACCTGTAGGCTCGGGGAGGATTCCAGCTTGACCCCATTCAGGTAAATGTGATGTGGACCTTCCACCTTGGGAGAGACATACAATTAGGGTTTAGGGTTTAGGGTTTAGGGTTTAGGGTACGGTACCCTCGGGTTTGGGAATCCTGTTTAAGTAAACCTCAGGGACAGGGCCACAAACTTTTCAATTCCATACACTTTCAGTTTGCAGCAGCAACAACTTCATAGCCCTGCCCCAGAAACAAGAAATGCACGGTCGCAAACCCTGCAATACAAAACCCTACACCCTAAAGGCTCTAACTCCCCAGACCTCTAAAATCCTACATCTCTAATACTAACACTAATACTAATATTAACACTAATACTAACATTTATACTAATATTAATACGAATTCTGATTCTAATACTCCTCTCCCTCTTGGAAGACTTTGGGGCCCGGACCATGTCCTTTTTAAAGCCGTCCTTCAGTTTTCCATCCTGCATGGCACCATTGGAGTGGCAGGTTTAAGCTACGCCTTTGTGCAGTTTAAGCCGTGCGGTGTAGGGTGAGCCCTCTGTGATGTAGGAAGCTGATTAAGAAACCTTGGGCCTTTATTAGGGTTCTCCTTATATGAACCCTACGACTTTACGATTATAGGCCCAGGGCCTCTTAATCAGGCTCCTACATTAGGATTAGGATTGTCTGGGGTTTGCGGATCTGGAGCAGTTCAGTTTGCCTGACGCTCGGCTTTTTGAACATGGGACGCCTTCCACTTGGAATTCCGTCCCGGGCGAGTTCGCGGGGACATGGGGAACTGCCGGCTGATGCGGCATACAGTTGAGGATCAGCTTCTTTGAAAGGGAACTGGGGTTGAGCTGGAACGATCTCGCGCCGCGATACCTCGGGCTAAGAACTTCCCTGAAACGAAGGGCGGCTGAGCGCGGAGTCTCCCGTCTTCGGCGTTCGAACGAACAGTTTGTGTGGGGGTTCTGGTATGTTGAACCGCGAAGTTGCTATGGGTAGATTGCTAAGTAGGAGGGTTGTGCTCCAAGCACGTGGCATATAAAAAAGGACTACGGGATCCATTCTGCCAACAACTTGCATGGGGATGTTGCATGTGCAGGATTTGCGTTGCTGGATGGCTTGTTGCTTGTAGGCTTTCAACGTGAGGCTTTTAGAGTGGCATTTCATGGGCCGTGGGGGAACAGGCGGGTGTCTGCAAAACTAGTAGCAGTATCCCCTTATTCTTTCTACTGTTGTAAATGTCTACATCTGGAAGGAGTTGCTTGGCTACATTTTGTAATGTGATCCTCTAGAGGAAGGACCTGTATGATTAGAAAAGGGTTGGAAAATTTTGTCTTACAATTGAAACTGCAACTTCAACTATTTGGGACTTGCAGGGAACAGTGTCAGTAATTGTTTAGGCCGCAGGCAATGATATGCGTCCCTGTCAGCATCCGGAAATGCCGGTATTGGAGGCTCCGCATTTGGGACTGCCAACCACAAAAAATTATGCTTGACCTCGGGCGATGCTGACAGGCAAGGACCCCCAAATCGGAGGTGAGGTGCCATTCACGCGACCTTTCGACCGCGACTCCTACCAAACTCCAGGCCCAAAGACTTGAAGACTGCATAAACCCTAAACCCTATCTCACAAAAGAAGACATGTTCGGACGTGTGGCTTCTGCTGAAACCCGGAGCTCTGTGCTTACCGATGGGGGGGTCCTGTCCTCGTCCCGTCGAATTGATGCAACTAACAGCAACTAAGAGGGTTTGGGGTTCCAGCTTAGGTTGAGGCTTTGAGGCTTTAGGGTTTAGGGTGTCGGTAACGCTGATTCACTCGACGATGCCAGCCAAGTGCTTCGCCAACCTGCATCATTGCAAGTGTTCAGCTTTGAGCCGAAAGCATTCCAGGGTGTAGGGCTTGGGGTCTACCTTGGGGTTTGCTTGGATGTCGAGCCTTGATCAGAATCTGTAGGGGCCAACAAAGCAGCGCGCGGACCTGCATGCCCTCAGGGTGTAGGATGTCGCGCTTAGGATTTAGTTCTACCTTCTCGATTCAGGGTGGTGTACACCCAACGACCCAACGACGCTAAAATCCCTGAACCCTCACCACTCCTGTCCCGAGCCTCTTCTTATTCTCGAGGTCAAAGAGCCGCTGGATGAGGACCTGGGTGCAGATTGGGTCATCCAGGCCCCTCATTAGGGCTTACATCCCAAAACTGGCGACTGGCTTGGGATTCGAAAAACCTGCTCATTGGGTAAGTGGACCATCCAGGCCAGGTAACCACCTGAACCTGGTTCACACCTCGAGCCACGCGCTTCCGAGCATAAGCTCACCTACCGAATCCTTGGAAAAAGCCATCGTGCTTTGGAGATCCGAATATTTGGAGCTCTTTGTTTCAATTCCCGAAGCCTTAGCGCCCTGAGCATGCACCCCAAAACTCCGGCCCCCAGATCGCAAAATCAAGACCCAAACCCTAAGACACCCAACGCTCCTATAGTAGAGGCCATAACGCTGGAACGTTATGATCCTCATGCCCTTGAAGTAGACGTGATCCTAGCACAAATCATCCTAAACCCATGATCCAACTTTCTGAGGTTCAGTGTAACCCTCTAAAACCCTCACCTTCAAACACCCAAACACCCCCTGAGCCGGCCGCCCGCTGTGCTTGCGGTGAGCCCGCTCCGTGGAGACTTTCGCCTCCGAGCAAAGGCAGATCGGTCGTGTCGAGTCTATTGTGATTACATAGTATCATCCGATCATACTAAGCATACTGTATGACTTCAGACTGTATGCTAGGGGCTTAAGGTTTAGGATTTAGGATGTGGCGTTTAGGGTTTTAGGATGCCTTTGGGAGGGCTTCAGGATTCTGGTTAACCGAAGATCAATACGAAAGATGACACAGCTTACAGTTTTGAAGGCTTCGGGCCTTCATTCTCGGAAGGGTCTGTCTTGGGGTACTAGATTTACTAGATGCCTCTATGTTAGTGTCTCATATTTCAAGCAAAGCTTTCTGAGCTGTGAGCACTGCGGCGTTGCAGTTCAAGCTGCATGTTTCGGATTGATGGTTGCAGGTTTGGGGCTGGGTTTTGCGGCCGGGACTTCGTTTCGAGAAGGAGCCAGCGACGGAAGGCGGAAGCCACTTTGTGCCGCAAGCTGTCCGGTCTCATCTTCGTGAGTACCAAGGCCGAGCTCCCTAAAAAAAACTAGTTTCAGGTCCCTCGGCTCCGATTCCTAACAGGTGAGACCCAACTCACAAAGAAGTGGGACCAACAAAAACACCGAGGGACTGGGCTCGACCTAACTGCTTCAAAGAGGCTGAGGTAGCCCACAGCATTCCTGGCCGGTCCAGGCATCTCACATCACAATACATTCTAGCTGAAGGAGATAGAGGTAGAGATGAGGATGGCAAAAGAAGAAGATGGTGATGAGAGCGCTGCAGTCAGGATGACACTATGAGGAAGATAACACTGATACTGAGGCGGTGATGACGGTGATTATGGTGATGTTATTGGTGATGTTGGTGCTTATGCTGATGACGAAAATGGCGATAATGATGTGCAGAATTCCACGAAGCGTATGTTTTTTTTGAGTGCGATGAACTGTAGATCCACTTTTACTTCTCTTGTTCCTCGGGGGTGGCCGGTCCTGCCCATGGTCATGTTCTCGATGAGGCGGAGGATGCGTCGACGATTCTCCACAGTGACGCCCTTCTTGCCCTGTCGGAAAGATAGGGTCTTGGCATAAGACTAGTGACGAGCTGGGAATGCGAAATCGCATAGCGCAAACACGTTACACATGTGTAACTGCGTGCTTGTATGTCGGTTTGTCCGTATGTACGCAATTACGTACTTCAATCTGCACGTATGAAGGTATGTATGTGTATCTGTCTCTCTGTCTGTCGGTCTATCCGTCTGTCTTTCTGTCTGTTGTTTGTGTGTACAAATGCACAATAATGGCCACGGCTTCTGGGGTTCCACGAGGGTTTTTCAGGCTGTCAGATGGGCACCAGGGCTATGGACGTTCATGCTTTGAAGCTGCAGTGGGCCGGTCGACGGCCCTTCGGCTTCACGCAGTCAAACCCCGTCTCCGAACCTTCAAGTACTTCTCCAACATAGGCCCAGCCACATCGTTACCTCAGAGCTTCTCAGGGCTCACGGTCCTCAGGAATCAGCTTACAGGCTGTGGGGATTTGGATTGATCTATGGCAAGCGGCGGAATTCCTTGTCGGCCGGAAGGGTGACGATGAGTCCTCCAGCCAAGTCCTGCCAGTAGCGTTCAAGTCCATGGCCAGTGCAAAAGACGTGACACCATAAAGTGTGCAAGCGAAATCTCTCACAATCCGAGACACCTCTGCCTCAAACCTGGAAGAGAACTGACTGACCGGACAAGAAACATTCAAGGGTCTACCCTGAGAAGCTTCAAGACCTGCAGGTTCTTTTTGTGGAATTCTCGTAGTTCTCATGAAATAGTATACTGTATACTATTCTGTAATTATCGTAACTCTCGAGATCGGAGGGCTTCTCGTCAGATCTGACTCGTCTCCTGCGCCAGACGTGAAATCTCGTACGGGAGCTTCGTCACATTGTGTTTGCCTGGATTCGCGCGTGTTGAAGCTTTTTCTAAAAGAGCCGGGGTATGATGATGACTTCAATGGTTGAAGGTGAGCATCTTCAAGAAACCCTGGCAACAGCACACCACATTCTCACCGAAAATCTGCTTGGAGACAAGCAATTTGGGGATTGGCGTTTCCTGACCTGAATCCGACACCCCAGATCCGAATTTCAAGGAGGGTGCAGATCCTGCACAAGACTTAAGCTAGGGCCGTTTACGCCTCAAGTTCTGAAACCAGCGCAGCGTGGAACCGCATGACTCCTTCTGCTCAATGTCTCGCACAAATCAGGCACATTCCAAAGCCTGGATTGCTCCAGAAAGCTCGCCGCCTCTAGTTTCCGGACCATACCCAAAGAGAAAACCCCACATCAGAAAACCCAAACAAGACCACATCGAGCCGAACAAGACTCCAAGGAGGACTTCGTATATGCCGAGTTGCAAATGTTTGCCATCCTGACACTCTTCGGCGATGTTTGGAGCTGAAGGACTCAAGATATTTAGTCTTTGCGGCTCTGAGGCGTTGAGGGCTGTAGGTGTAGAGTCGAGGGCTCGGTGTAGAGTTTGGGGTATCCGCAATTCCGACATTTCTGGGCTGTTCGCGGTGATATCCTCGGATTCGGCATTTGAACTGTGGCGCTGCATCCTCAAAGTGACGTCGAATATGTTCGGGCTCTTAAGGAAAACGGTGGCTTGCAGCCCAGCAACATGACATCCGGCAGGAAGTTACCCGAAGGTGTGGCCTGCGCGGGGGCGGGCTTGCGGAGCTTGATCGCTCAGGGATTGGGATCACAGAGCTTTCAGTCTTTCGGTTTAGGGTTTCGGGGGTCTGGGGAATTATGGTTTCCGGCCTCGAGCTTTGGGGATGGCTTCTGGTGGGTCAGGTTCAAGTCTGCAGCCACCCTCTCGACCCTGAATCCTACTGTCTGAATCCCCAAACTCCATGTTCACATCCCGGATGCGGAACCATCAGCCCGAATTTCCACAGCCCACCCACCGACAACTCCGCAAATTCCTCAATTCTGAGCTCCCATTCGCAGAGTGCGCAGCCTTGCCGCCATAGGACGATGCCATGGCCGTTCCCGCAATGTTCCTCGAAACGGAACGATAGTCTTGGTCGGGTTCGCTGTGAGAATACTGACATATTGGTTGCGGAAGTGCGGCAAAAGGGATTCCCTCAAGGCCCCGTGCAACGGCCCAAGCTTGTGGAAGAGGCTATCGTTATTGCTCCCTTGGGCCAAGCGAAAATCGTCCTCCCAAACACCCTTAAGCGGTGTCCTTTGAGAGCCCACTCAGCCAAGTCATTTATGCTAGGATACTCGGGTCTGCTAGCTCACCTTAAGTCATCGCACAGTGTACCACTGGCTTCCACGCCAAGGTCTGGATCCGAGGATTTCTTCTTATAGGCTACTTCCTGCAAGGATCCTATGCCTCTGCGTCTGTACTAGAGTCGCCTGTTTTCTGACAGGTTTTATCTTCTGGATGATCCTCAAGGTTTCTACCAACAGATTAGGTGGCTCAGTGCGAACGTACCTTAATTGGGCTTGTAGATAGCCCACAACCCAACACCCACAACCAAAGAACCTACACCCCGAAAGCCCCGAACCCCCGAAACCCAACTCTTAAGCTTTTCAAAACCCAAAGAAGCCCTAAACCCTGAAACCTCGAACCCTCTGTTTCGATAACTTGAGCAGACAGGGAGCTCGTTGAGGTAGGCAATCTCCACCAGCTTGTCCTCCACACTTGGGGCAGGCCGGTCGGGTTTTTCGGGGGTTGAGGAAGTTCTGCAAAGATTTGAAGTGTTTTAGGGGTTTGGGAGTTTGTGTCTGAGCGTGTTCAAAGGCCAAAAAGCCTTGAGGGCTATTGGCCTTGGGGTTTAGGGCCTGGGGCTCAGCGCAGTGAGCTTGATGATATTGATGAAGCAAAAACTGGCGCAACCCCCTTCGGAAGCACGAGCCCTAAACCTCTACACCCGAATGGGCATAAACACGAATAACCCTCAACCTCTAAAACTCTGGAAGCAAGACCCTAATTACACTCTAAACCTCTGAACCCTGCACCCATTTCTGAAAAGCCCCTACGGGTGCCTTGATATGCGAGGCTTTCGCGACGCCATTGTAGTCTGCAACCTGACTACCGTCGGGTCACGCAGCTCGATCCTTCAACTTCAAGATCCCTGATCTCGGTTTAGGGTTCAGGGTTTAGGGCTGCCCTGACATCGGCAATAAGAGGGCTCAGGGTGGAGGGCTTCAGGTTCCTGGAGAAGGGGTGTAGAATCAGAGGCTCCGGATTCTTGGGCTCTTCTCCCGACATCGAAATTAGCGGAATTATATGGGTGGTTGTCAAAATTATGGTCCCTTCTTGGGTCCCTATATAGTACGGCACCTCATATTTAGGGTACCCAAAACGGGGCCATAATTTGACAACTACCCCTTTGCTTGTAAGGCTACTTCTAGCTCCGCAATACCCTGACCCTAAAAACCCTACAAGCCTGATCCAAACCCTAAGCCCTAAGCGGTTCCATGGAAGGCCGAGCAAGTCGCCAGCCTTTAAACACAACCTGGCAGCCCAAGCAAGAAACTGCTGAACAGAAACTAAACCACTGAAGTTCACAAAACCTAGCTAAACGTATTCTTTGTGACAGAGAGAGAATGAGAGAGACAGATGGGTAGCTCAACCCTGCAGTGCCGAGGCAGGTGCTGTGGCGGCAGCACCCAGCATCACGTCGCCGAGCCCGGCTTTGCAAACGTAGGAGCCTCGGAGAGGGAAGGGGTTGGGGCTGGGGCTGCGCGGGTTTGGAAAGTCTTAGAGTTTAGGATTTTAGTAAAGGGTCACTTTCAAGCTTTCGGCTTTGTGGGGAGTTCTCCCCCACTTTGAAACCTGTAACCGCTGGTCCTCCCAAAACCCCCTTGTACTGACTGACCTGAGTCCACCGCCAGTTGGGGTCGACGAACCCATCGAAAACGTGGCTGTACAGAAAGCTCCTGCAGCTACTAATTCCATACTCCGGGGCCCTAGCGGCGGTGGTAGGCCGTGAAGCGCTCGACCAAGCTCTGGGTGAAGTCCACCTGCAAGGAAAAGTCTGAGACCTCGAAAGTGAAACTTTGCTGGTTTTCTGGCTTTCGGTTGTGACTTGTTTTTAGGCTTGGTTTTCGGGACGTGGTTCAAAGTCTCCGAACTCTGGTTTGGGGGCAATGGATCTTAGGTTAATCTCTAGCTTCCGAAGCCTTCCACACCTCCACACACTTCCCATAGCCTAGAGAACAGCACGACACGCTCAGCGCCGGCCTCCCCGTCCATGAAAACGTACCTCAGCGACACGTCGAGGTTTTAAGCTGCAGGGCTTCGGGAGCTTCAGGGCTTCGGGAGCTTCTTTCTTGATCCTAAGCGGCTTAACTCAAAGGGGAAAAAGAGGGACCCTTAATGGGGACCCCTACCCTATAATGGGCTATATAATGGACAGATTCGCGGCAGCACCTGGACCGGCTTCGAAGCGTTAGTCTCGAAAAGCCGCGGCTAGCTGCATACCGAAAACGGATTTTTGCTCGTGGCGTCGGTCGGTGCTACAGAAGTCGGCACTGTACAAATTGCAGCAACCATTCAAACGGGGCGACCAGTTGATTAAAGATCAAACGCGTGGCACATAGCCTTCCAGCTTTGGAATTCCTCGCGGCCACGCTCAGGCTGTCCCTGAAACTTCTTAAAGCATCTTAAAGCTGATGTCAAGATTCAAAATCGCGAGCACTCTGGCTAAGCTCTTGACACCACCTCGTCCGACCCGTCCGTATTCATGCGTAAGATCTAGCAAGCCTTGCCTCCACGCCGCCCACCAAAACGTGCAGTGCATCTGACAATCATTCGACAAGCGTTTCCTCGTCGATGCTGCTCCACAACAGCCTCATGTAAAGCAAATGGCTCACCACGGCCCGAAGTTTTGTACCCGGGGCTTGGTGGCCTTCGTGGAGCTCTGCTTGGCCTGCTGGCCTTTGATCTTCAAGGCAGACTGAGCGGCAGCCAGCCTGGCGACCGGCACGCGGAAAGGCGAGCAGCTCACGTAATCCAGGCCGATGCGCTCGCAGACCTCGATGGAGGCAGGGTCGCCGCCGTGCTCACCACAGATGCCCATCCTCATGTGAGGCCTGGTGCTGCGACCGCGCTCCACTGCCATGGTGATCAGCTCGCCGACACCGTCGGGATCAAGGGACACGAAAGGATCCGTCTCCACGATTCCCTTGGCCTTGTATTCAGGCAAGAAGGACCCGGCATCATCACGGCTCAAGCCATAGGTGGTCTGCGTGAGGTCATCGGTGCCAAAGCTGAAGAACTCCGCCATTTCTGCCAACTTTCCGGCCTGCAAGGCTGCGCGTGGAAGCTCAATCATGGTGCCCACCTTGTAGCTGAAGGTGATTCCCTGCTCCTTCTTCACCGCATCTGCCGTCTTCTCGATGATGCCCTTCAGCAGTTTCAGCTCTTCGGTGGTTGCCACAAGTGGCACCATGACCTCTGCCACCGGCAGCTTCTTGGAGCTTCGGCCGACCTCGGCTGCGGCTTCGAAGATTGCTCGCGCCTGCATCTCGCAGATCTCCGGGTAGGTGATGGCCAGTCGGCAGCCGCGATGGCCCAGCATGGGGTTGGCCTCCTGCAGCTCTGCAGCACGCCTGCGAACCCGCTCCAGGGGAACGCCCGCAGCTTTCGCCACCAGTGCCATCTCGGCTTCCGTGTGCCTCGGAGAAACTAAGACTGAGGCGAAAAACAAGCTCTTGCTTATCTATAATCCACTGCACTGCAAGTGAAACCCACATGATTCACACTGCAAGGGCCGAGGAGCGGGATGAACTCGTGCAGTGGAGGATCCAGCAAGCGCACCGTCACGGGCATTCCGTCCATAATCTTGAACAATTCGGTGATGTCATCACGCTGCATGACCAAGAGCTTCTCCAGCGCCTGTCGCCGATCGCTCTCATCAGTGGCCAAGATCATCTGCCTCATGGCCACAATGCGCTGACCTTCGAAGAACATGTGCTCCGTCCTCACAAGACCGATGCCCTCCGCGCCGAACTCCTTGGCTTGTCGAGCGTCGGCTGGGGTCTCCGCATTGGCGCGAACCTCAGCCATGCATGGCGCAGCCGCCTCCACTCAGATGCTGCAAGGCTGTAAGACTGATGCCATCACTGCTCTACACCCTTTAGCTCAGCGCGCTGCCTTCATGTCCCGGAACTCATCCGCCCACGCCATGATGGTCCCGAAGGATCCAGACAGCTGTGGAAGCACCGTGGGAACTTCGCCCACAATGACCTCTCCTGTGCTTCCATCGATGGTGAGGATCTGGCCCTCTGAAACCGTCACGGCACCAACGGTGAGCTTCGCCGCGGCATAGTCTACGGTGATCGCGCCCGCCCCCGCCACGCAGGGTCGGCCCATCCCACGGGCGACCACGGCGGCATGGCTTGTCATGCCACCTGCCAGTGCGGCCAACCAAACAAGAAAGTGTGCAGTCGAACCATTCTAACTCTAAGGCTATGCACTCCTCCTGCTCACCAAGGACCTGCCTCGGGTGGTCAGGACTCCCTCCGCTGCGTGCAAGCCGTGGATGTCGTCCGGGCTGGTCTCGATGCGGACCAGGATCACCTTGTGGCCATCCTTGCACCGTCGCACCGCTTCGTCAGCAGAGAAGACAACCTCAGCAAACCAAGTAAAGCGCACTACAGTTTGCGCGATGGTCGTATTGGCAGAAGCAGTAGACATCGAAACATACTCAAGCAAGGTAACCTTGCCGCCCGCAGCACCGGGAGAGGCAGGAAGGCCCTTGGCGATCACCTCCTTCTTAGCCTTCGGGTCCAGCGTCGGGTGAAGCAGCTGATCCACCAAGTCAGGCTTCAAGCTCAGGATGGCTTGGGATTTGGAGATCAAGCCCTCCTGGGCCATGTGTGTTTTTTTATCGTGTCTCTCACTTCCCCCTAAACCCTAAACCCTAAACCCTAAACCCTCCTGGGCCATGTCAACGGCAATCTTCAGCGCAGCTGGAGCCGTGCGCTTTCCGTTGCGCGTCTGCAGCATGTAGAGTTTGCCTTGTTGTATCGTGAACCTGGATAACCGGGGGTGGTGCGGGTTAGTGGTCCGGGTTTTTTTCTGACGATCTTCTTGGAATCTAAATTTGCGCGTTCTGCGCTTGGCTGCTGTGAACTTATGCTGTAGGGAGAGGAAGCAGGCCGATGCTAGGCACAGTTACGCTGATTTACGCTCCTTTCGCCCCGAATATAACTGTTACGCACCTTTCCACAAGATAAAAAAACCTCGGCTTTCGTGGCCCAGGAACTCGATATCTTGCATGTCCTGCTTCGATCTCAGATACAGGCGGCAAACCTTAATGACCTAGTTTATTGAATGATGCTGGCTTTGGGAGGAGGTATTCAGGTTGTTTGCAAGGGGACGTCCTTGTAGTGGGTCTCAAGCTGACTCCGCACCGACAGCAGCTGCTTGAAAATCTGTGGCATAACCTCTTCCAAGGAGTGCAGGTCCGAACCGTGGGACTTGCGGGCCTTGATCGTCAGCTCTTGCGGTGTGCGGATTCCGGCAACCACATCTTCGCCCTGCGCGTTCACCAAGAACTCACCGTAGAATTCGTTGGTTCCCGTAGAGGGGTCACGAGTGAAGGCAACGCCTGCGAAATGACTGGGACTTGAATTTACACAAGCCCTGTCCATCTGCTGAAGGTCCCATGACGCATGCAGGTCAATGAAGCAAGCAACGGGCGGCACCGTCCACTCACCTTACTTACCTACCTGTCAAAGAAAGCCCAAACCCCACTCCAACAGCCCCGGCAGTGATGCTGGTCACCGCACATTACCCGTACCGTACTGGGACCCGGCGCCTGTGGCACAGTCGTTGCCCATGTTGCCGAAGACCATGGCCTGGACGTTCACAGCGGTGCCCCACCACTCCGGGATGTCGTGCAGCTGCCTGGCGGCGTCGCGTCTCATGCCAGTCCTATGTGCTGTGGACAGCTCCGAAAGCATCTTTGGTGCGGCTTTCTGTTCTCATGGGATCTGCAGAACGCTCCTAACCACCAGCACTGAACACAGCATCCGAAATACATGGTGAAGTATCTCGAACTCTGCACGCAAGCAACCCCAATTAGCGTGTACATCTGTGGTTCCAAACTGGGGTGCTACTGCTGCATACCACCCTTCCATGTTCATCTCGGCACTACAGCCCAACACCGTTCAAAGCAATATGCAATAGCTCATCTAAAACACCGAAAGTTGGGAGGGGTACCTCCATCCTACAAGAACCGGGGCGCTGATGAGTGCCTGTATGTCTTGGCTCGCTGGTTCATCCAGGAGTTGAAGACCTTGCAGTCTCAAGTACTGCGTGGAGTGAAGACCACAGAAGCAAATCTGAGTTTTCCCTACTTGTCGGGTATCATGGGGAACTAAAGGTTAACCTTTTCGGTTTTATAGGGATCATATAGGGACTATGCTACCCAAAAAAAGGTTACAGGTTACCTACTCTACTACTAGGTTTCTGTTTGCCAGACCAGACACTGCACCAACGGCACCCCACAGCTGGGCTTTCGGATCTTCGGGGAACTCCTCGCCCAGCTCCAACTGCACCACGGCTTTGTACCTTATTTCCCGAGCTTTGGGCGTCAAAACCTTACGATTACAATCACCGTGCTTAGCCCGTGCCGGAAATTGCTCAACCATTGAAACACCCCTGCCCCACCCACCAACCCCCCCCCCACCCACACACACCCTCCCCCTAACATCTTGAAAGCAGGTGCGATTTCACCAACTTCTCCAAGTCATCAACAAGCAGCTCGCAATCCTCGGCGGAAATCTCGCTATGGGAGGGAGGGCTACAACACTTCAAGCACCCTTCTAACCCCCAAAACCACCCTGAAGGCTCCGTCCTGCTTCACACCGCGCTTCTCCTTCGCACGCTCCAGGTGCTTCTCAAAGTGGTTGATCTCGATGCCAAGGACCACGTCTGAGTACATCTGAACGAAGCGCCTGTAGCCTCCAAGGTTCAACAGAAAACTTCTACCGAACACGGCTATTGCGATTTGGGGAGTTGATGAGTTCGCCCGACTCGACAGAAGTAACAATGTACTCAGAAAAGCTCAGGAGCTGTCGAAGGCAAAGCGGCGGTCGCCAGATTTCTTTGCTAGCGCTTCAACCGTCTGATCGTTCAAACGCAGGTTAAGCACGGTATCCATCATTCCTGCCACAGGGCCAGACCGGGGCGCGCACAAGCATCAGACGGAAGCGAAGAAATTTGAGTGGCACTGCGCACCATGGAGATTCTATATGCGATCTTGCACACATATGCACCGAGACATGTGTCAAGCGACTGAAGATGTTCGGACCCCTGTCCTGGCATGGACGCACGCGCCCCGGAGCGGACTGAGACCAGAAGCGGGTTGGTGGAGTCGCCAAAAACACGGCCGGTGCGCTTCTGGACCAAAGCCAGTGCCTCCTCGACCTTTCGCATGGCGAAAGGATTCTATTCGGGGTGTGGAATAGATCCTGCATAGACCGTGTGAGTTGCAGCACCACTTCCAACAGGTGCCATTCCCCCTCCCGTTCTAAGCCTCGCGCCTGCTTGTTGAGCTCCTTGGGATAGTTGCAACCGTTCTGATAGAAGTGCGTACAGACCTCCGTCGTGAGTGTGAACCCGGGAGGCACCGGCAGCCCGGTGGAAGCCATTTCCTGAATCGCACTTCTGCCCAGGCCGATGTGCAAAGAACTGCAAAGACGACGTGAGCGTTGAATTGAACAGTCGAGATTCCGCCAGGTTGGCACCCTTGCCGCCGAGCAAGTTCTTCATCTCGGCTCGGCCGTCGGCCTGCGGCTTCTGTGGTAGTTTCTGAACTTAGGAGCTTTGGAACTCTACCCGGGCAGCAGATCAACTGTTGGGAGCAGTCAAACATGCCGCTCCTCGCCATCACCGAAGTTGTAAACCCACGTGGCCATGTCTGATGGGAACACGTCCGGACCCTGATCGCTCAGATACCTTGAACCTCAAATGCTGCGACGGGATCGTTTTTGTGTGGATGCTTGCGTTCTCCAGCTGCCGCGACACAGGTTGCTTTCTGACAAACCAACAGTCGAAGACTGACACAGCGAAAGTTTGCTGACACTAGCTGCAGTCTGATGAGTACACCCGAAATTCTTGGTGCCACTGTCCCCACTATGACCACATTCTTCATAAAAGTCGTTTACCGAACAGAGCATCTCCCAAGAGACTTCAGGCACCAAGAACCCCATAATGCGACTCGCGCCTGCGTTAGATTGCACTAGATGGCCACACAGCCTAGCGGGCTCGCTCATGAGCTCTCCGAACAGAGCAGTTTCGCGCCCTCTGCTGAACTTGCGGGCCGTTGAAGCTGCAAGTGGTGCAGCTACCATCATCATCATCATCATCATCATCCGCAGTCACTTCGCGCAAATCTCCAAATCTCTTGCAACGCGTGGCCTCCGGATTTACTTCCAATTTAAGGTGTTAGGAGTTCGCCCTCTGGGCTCCGTCCCAGACAACCCCGAAGCCCCGCACCCAACATCTCGCCAGAAGCAGAGGTCGCGACTCAGGTGGCACGTAGACATCCTCGAAAATTGTCATGGTCTCCTCTTGGCCACATTCACGGTCTGAGTGTCGGGGTGTTGAGGACCTGCACCCCGAAACCCTAAACCTTGCACCCTAAACCGTAAAGGAGCCGATCGTGAAGAGATTGAAAACTCAGAGGCGAAGCTGAAAACCGACAAACTTCCGGCACCTGTCCGCCGAACTTCGCATTGCCCTGGTCGATGTCGCCTTGGCTCGGTGCCGGCAGGGTCGTTGTCGCTTCAAGTGTTGCGGTCTGAGTCCAAGCCGTCTGAAATTCAAAACTGCTGCCAGATAACAAAGGTTGCACTCTTGAAGCCGTAGATGGGGAAAACTCTTTACCCCCTAAACCCCTGAACAAACTCAAACTTTGATTTAGCATAATATCATATGATATGATGTGATACAATATAATACAATATGATCTGATGTGGTATGTTCTAAACTCTCGTATAACATGATATGAGATGAGATGATAAAGTACACTATGCTACCATCAGACAAGACTGTGACGCGACGCGAGAATCTACGATGCTACAGCATACTGTGCTAGATTATACTGCGTCGTCTTGTAGTATGTTCTAATGCATTATTTTATGCTACATCATATTGTGTTATATCATCGTGCATCCCATCACTAAATCATCTTCCGTGACATTATCTCATCCTGCTGCACCACAAGGTAAGCTATGTTATACGGTAATGTACCATCATGTATGATATTGACATGTATCTTATGCTTTCTTTCTACTTTTTCAATGCTGCTAGTTTGAAGCCAAGATTCCAGGCTCCATGGCCCGCAAGTCGCAGCTCTGACGGCCATAGATGTATGTGATGCCTCGGACGAGGGTTTGAGGGATTATTAGGGATGTCAGGGTTCCCAGCACTTCGCTTCAGAAGAAAAAAAATGTGGCCCTTGGGAAGAAGAGATGAAGGAGAAGCAGGAGGCCCCAAATCAGTGTCCAGGCCCGCTCAGCCGTGTCCGAAATACCGTCACGACGGTCATGAGCATTCCCTGTGCTTCCTTTTCTACCGCCTCCTGCTGTCAGGCGCAACTATAGGAATCCCGAATGTTCGAACAAGATCTCCGACCACCACCCTGGACGCTGAACCCTAAGCCCGGCAGCCATGACTGAGCCCTTTCAGGCTCCGGTCATTTCGCAGGGCTTGGGCCCTGAAAAGGTGTGAACGGGCGAAGGTTTAACATCAAACTTTTTTAATTCTCAGGATCAAAATCGGGGGAAGGACATGTTATTACTATGTTATGCTACAATATTATGCTATACCCTGGTGCGCTATAACAAGACATCATATGGCATCAGCAGCATCATATAATATCATATAAGGGAAGAGAGGCCCGGAGCATCCACTGGTACCGCACAGGACACGGCGTAGTCCTCTGGCCGGACGGCGGAGGTTTCATATGGGCAGTTCTCTAAATCAGGATCCCTTCTTAGGCTCCAAATTAGGACGGCATCTGGGACCGTAGTTAGAAGAAATTACCCATATGTGTTTTTGGAGTGGCATTGCATCTCTGCGGCTTTAGCGGGTTGCTGTGGGGTGTCAGAACGGTCCCATACCCCGGAACTTAGGATCCAGAGCTAATGGCTCAAGATGCTGCTTCTTTTCTGCGCCCCTACCCAGCAACAGAAGAACGAAAGCGAAATGCCCAGCTCCTTGTCAGCAGTTTCCATCTTGCTCCCGGGCATGAGGATCATCCAATGGGAGTTGAGGTTCCCTGTCCTCGGGGCAGTGCGATGCACCAGACAGTTAAGGGTCTAAATCACGCGAGAATGTCCCGGTGCTTCCTGTGACAATCCAAGGGGAGCATCTTGTGTGCCGCCAGCACCCGTGTAGGATGTAGCGATCGCAGCTTGGGGCTTTGGATGCTAGCCCCTCGAAAAAGCACCGACAACAGCCGCAGCAACCACCAAACAGATAACAAAGCCTCAATTCCACACCCTAAGCCCTTAACCCTGTAAACCCTATATGCCCTACACTCAAAGAAACTCAAAATCATACGAAAGCCCCCAGCCTGACAGAGCCAGAGCCAGAAGCCGAGGCTCTGGTGGGCTTTGCAGCCACGGAGGACAATACCGCCGTTGGGCCTCCGCTCTGCGACGCGCACGAAGAGGTCGGGGTCCTCTCTTCGCAGTTGGATGAAGATACATCATATCATACCGTACTATACTGTATTCTACTATATACTCTATCATATCATATCGCGTTATACTATATTATATGCATATATTATATACTATAGCATAACATCTCATGTTGTATTTTTATTCAGCTTCGGGATCAGGAACCCAAGGAGAGCCGAGGGCCCACAGAGGCTCCCTCAGGTTCTCGGCTTTTTGGCTGAAAGGTTACTGTGCAACAAGGCTTTGTGGCTCCTTTTCGAAGATGGGAGTTTCCGAAAATGGGGGACCCCAATATAGTACCCTTAATAGTATGATCCTTATTAGAAGGACCCCAAAACAATGTGCCCCTAATTTTTGGAAATTTGCCAGATGGACTACCCTGTCCTGCGGGCCCCTGATTTCAGAAACCGCCATATCGTAAGGACTACAAGACTTGCAACACTGTTGCACCAGGAGACACCCCTTTCAAAGAGAGCCGAAGGATACCTCCACACGGCCAGAACAAAATTATCTGTTTGAGCTCTGGTGTGACCCTCAACCCCAAACTTGACCTCAAACGTCGCACCTCCTGCTGTGAGGGATTCAAGCTGCGATCGCCTGCGCGGGTCTTGCTGCCGGTGGTCATAAGATGCTTTTGGGAGCTCCCATGCATCCAACCCGACGACTCCTGTAACCCAAAACCCTGAACAATCTGGGCAAGCACACAGGATCCAGGACTCGCTTGAAGCCTCCCTGCTTGTTGACTACAGAGCTTGGCAGGTGAGCTCTTTGACTTACTTTCTGTGAGATAAGCCTCTCAAACTCAACCCGAAACCGCGAGCCCCACATGCCAGCCTGCACGCCCATACCCCTAAACCCTGAACCCTGCCCTCAACCCTAAACCCCTGAATCCCAACGGCCTTTTACATCAGTCATCGCGCCACCCAGAACCCAGTTCTTGCTCTGTGCCATCTTCATGAAGTCCTGGCTGTGCACCCAACAAAGGGTGCCTTAAGACTTAGGGTTTAGGGTTTCGGGAGTGATACCATCGAGCCTGAATAGGCACAACAAAGTTGTTGGGGTGACATTTCCCTATAATATTAGTAAGTCTTGGGACTGTCACTGAGCATCTCAGGAATTTGACTTAAGTTGCCATAGTTGGGATATATAGTCGTGATACTATGCACGATATTTTAGGTAATCATCTGATTTCCTGCGCTAGCATGCTCGCCAAGACTGGCCTCTCAAGAAGAAACTGTAAAGGCCTAGCAATTCGTGGGCGACAGAGTATTTAATACCTCCATCCTGCCTACCACAAGGCGAACAGCAACTCCCATCGCTGCGTGTGGAAACCAGAGGACAAGCACAGGCAACGCAGATCCTGGAAGCGCTGGTGGTAGTTCGTGCCGAACCTCGCGGAGATTACATAGGATGCCCAAAACAAAACAGCATAGAGCACTAGTATACCACATGCAACAGTATATACATGCATGTAATAATATAAATCATTTTCGTTGATCATGGCTTGAGCATCGAGGCTTGAAATCTTCGCGTTTGCACGGGGAACCCTAAGTGGACAGCAGGCCTCCACAGAGCTGACCCTGGATTTTGAGGCCCAGTGGCTTCTGATCGATGTCGTACGTCGTGGACCACATGGCCTCGTCTCCGATTAAGCGACGTTAGGAGAGGGCCAGGTGGGTTCAAGCGTACGGCTTACCCTCTTGGAGTACTCGTGTCTCCGGCGCAAAGCCTTCTATGAGACACACTTGACTCTCGAAGTACACTGTTCGATACCTCACGCACAACCCATCTCAAACATGTTACCCCCACACCTCTGTCTAAACGACTGAACTCTCATAGGCCCCGGCCTTGCGGGCTTGGCACTGAGACGAGTTGAGGATCTAAGATCCTAAACCACACATGTACGCTGCGACGCCCTATGCACCAACATAATGCAGTCGGACACAGAAGCCACAAAGCCGCAGGTTTGAGGCTGCAGGGCTGGCCCCAACCACTGCAATTCTCACCTTTCTTCCCATCGCCTGTAGCTATACTGCACTGTACTGTACTATACTGTACTGTGCTGTACTATACTTCGCACTATTTGGCCTTGATCGCGATCGGAAACTTCTGCCAGGTCACATTTGAGGCGTCTTGGCCGACGCACCGCTGGAAGCAGGTGCCTCCGATCCCCGCGCGGTGGGGAGCGATGTTCACAGGCTCTTCTGATAATAGAAATAGTCGAAATCATAGCAATCATATTAGTAATAGTAAAAATAGCATTAATCGTGATAATAATGATAATCATCGTAATATTCGGAAACATAGCAATAATAGTCATGATTGTAACACAGTACCAACAATCATCATCATAATCAAAACGACACTAATCTTCCTAGTCGAAGCAACAAGAAGCCCAGGGAAGACGATCGAACTGCCATGCGGATGTAAAGAAATTAAATCAGACCACCTCAGACCCCAACCTGCTTTGCAAAGCCCACTTCCTATTGTCGCAGCTCTGGCTACATCTCTTTGACACTCTTTGACATTTTGACGCTGTGAAATGCTCCTTTTGCCTTTACAGCTTCTTCCCGAAACGAGGCGAGACTTCGGATCCAAGATCGCATGGCTGAAACCCGGACACGCTTCAGCCTTGAACCCCCCAGCTTACCGTAAACAGCTAAGCGTCGGACAAGAATCCCCCCCCCCCAAAAAAAAATGGAGCAGCCTTTCCTTACAGCAGAGCCGTGCGCCAACCGTAGATCCGCCGCATCGGCAAAAATTCCAAGCTTCCGAAACTCCAAACCCCAGGCCCTTTAAACCCTAACCCCCCCCGGCCCCAAGAACCTAATATACCATAATCTATTACAATGTAATGTACTATGATATACTACAATCTACTCTACTATACTCTAATATACGGTAATATATACTAGGATATACCCCAAACCCCCTAAACCCCCCTAAACCCTCAAACCCCAAACCCTATAAGCACTAAACCCTCAAACCCTATCAACCCTAAACCCCTGAACCCCCAAACCCTAAACCCCTAAGGCCCCCCCCAAAAAAGGCCCCCAAAAGGGCCCAATATACCATGATCTAGGCTACAATCTACTCTCTTATACTCTTATATACTGTAATATCTACTATGATATACCCTAAGGCCCCCTATACTGTAATATACTATGCTATACCCTAAAACCCTAAAACCCTTAAACCCCCCCAAAAAGGCCCCCCCGAACAAAGGTGCCCCCAAAAAAGGGGCCCCCCAAAAGGGCCCCGGCCTGTGCGGCGCCCGAGCTCGCGCTGCATCTGCGACTGCAGAACGAGGTCGTCGGCCGACTCGCAGATGTGAAGAAACCTCCGAACGAAGGAGGGAAGAGAGAGGGTTTCTAGGGTTTATAGGGAGTTCAGGGTTTTTTTTGAGGGTTTAGGTTTTAGGGTTTCTATTTAGGGTTTTAGGCTTCAGGGTTTTAGGGTTTAGGGCTGAGATGAGAAAACTCCGGGGACGAAGAGAAGAGTTGAGATGAGGCGCATTGGGCAAAGGATCCAAAGGAGGAAGAAAGGGTTTAGGGTTTATAGGGTATTATAGGGGTTTATAGGGGTTGACAGGGTTTTATGGGGTTTATCGGGCTTATAGGGTTTAGGGTTTAGTAGGTTTTAGGGTTTATAGGGGTTTTAGGGTTTCAGGGTTTAGGGTTTTGTAGGGTTTAGGGTTCAGAGCTGAGATGAAGCGCAGTGGGGCTCAGAGCTTCGGGCTTGTTGAAAGAATCCAGAAGCTTTAACCTACTTGTATGAGAAGCGTCTTCCAGCTTCAAGCCGGTGAAAGCCCCCCGAAAAGCCCTTAGAACAACAGCTCCACCCTTCGCGCCTGCTCATCCTGTAGCCGCCTCGGTGGACGCTATGTCTCGTGGAAAGTGAGCCCTTCATTAAAGGGCTCAGGGGGGGGTTCCGATTTGAGACCTTCTTTGGGTGTTAGATACGTTACACCAGGGAATCTAATGGGTGTTTGTTGGAGGAAATCTTGGTGTCTGAAGTTGACAGGTTTCAGTTTTCGGGAGCGGAAACAGGCTTTGGGATTGAGCCAGTTCGGGTCTGAACGCAAATCCGAAGCCCTAAACCGGGGATCAGCGAAGGCCCCAAGGACGAAGGTCCCAGTACCCTAAACCCTAAACAGCCCTTAACCTAAACCCTACTGAGTCACTACTGCTTTTTATCAGCTTTTTGCAAACGTGGCGATGTCTCTGCCCGAGTGGCTGAAGCCAATGGCCGCACCTGAGGTCGGGAGTTTGGGTTTATGGTAGCTTGGGTACTTCAGCTGTTTGGCGCTTCGAGCAGTTGTGAGGAAGCACGGGGAGCTTCGAGAGAACAGGCATGGAACTCGGGCTGCCTCCTGTGATTCTTGAGTGTTGTCTTGTGGATCTTGTTGGGCGAGGCAAAGGCAAAACGGGCTCTGTCAGATTCAGGTGTGCTCTGAAACAGCCATGTTCCTGTACCTATTCGGCAGTCAAAGGGTTAAGATTGGACCCAAGAACTTGGCTTGATCCCGAGCTTCCAACGGCCCCCAGATGCAGCCCACCACAACCTCAACCCTTAACCCAGAAGCCCACCCAGCAGTGTGCCTAGCTCTGGATTCTCCTGCGCCAGCCGGTAGCTCTCAGCCATTGCGTTGACGGACGGCCAAACCTCAAGGACTCAAGAAGAACACTACTCACGTACAGATGAGGTTGTAAGCTTTGGGACACCTCAAGGAGGTTTAGGGCAGTTTAGGGTTGGGTTTAGAGTCGCAAGCGACCCCGCGATCTCGCCCCAAACTTGCACTCAACCGTACTTCGGCATCCAAGAGGCAATCGGGTGGTCCACGAATTCGGAGATCAGCTCGCCTCACGGTAAAGCCGTGGTAGCAAACGACAGCACGCACGGAAAGACAAAGGGGTGCACACACGAAGTCTTCGCGAAAGCCGCAGTACGCTGTAGAGGCAGTAGATGCAGTAGCAGATCTGATATTGAGAACTCGAAACCTCAGCGGCTGCAAACAGCCTCCTAGCAGCGACTGACGGAAACAAAAACGTGCATGACTAGCAGAAAACCGCGAAGGCCGCACCAAGGGCAGCATGACCCGACTTTATATTCAGCAAACTCTGCCCCTAAACCCTTATAAACCCTGAATGCTAAAGGAAAGAAGCAGCCGGCAGAAGCGGAGGTGGTGCCTTGCCTTGGAGGATCACCTTCAAGTTTCGACCCCGGAGGGATTCGATGAAGTCCTGCCGGAGACTTTCCGGGCCGCTCTGGTCTTTGGGGTATTTTGGGTGGGTTTTTGGGTTTAAGGGGTTTAGGGTTCAGGTTTTTGGGGGGCGCTTTGCCCCGGGAATCATCTTGGGCTTGCGTTGGTAGGGAGTTCTATGCAGCTGCATCGAGGCTCGAAGGTTCCTGGTCACTTGTTACTTGTTACTTCAACTTTGCCACAGCCCTCTGAGGCAGCCTCAGCCGTCACGATCTCCGGCTGCTGAACAGGGTTGCCTCCTTGGCGCTTTGGGACCTCTGGGGAGCCTGCGGCTTTCGCCAACTTGGGCCAAGTTCACCGATATCCTGAAGGGCTTGGAACCAAATCAGAGCACCCTTGCTGCATGTGAGCAAAAAGCCAACACAAGAACCACACACAGGTACCTCCAATCCTACAGGTGGCCTATGCCTATGCCAAAAACCAGCTCTTGCAAAAAGGCTCAAACCCTGCAATCACCGAAACCCACACGAAGCTCTGCGCAGAGGCAACACGGTGGCCCCACAAGCCCGAGGAAACTCTGAATTTACGCCTCCAAGCTCTGAGACTCTAAGACTCAAATGTCAAACGATGTGCTTCAAAAACCCAACACAAATCCGGAAAGTCTCGTAAGAACCTGAGCTGAACATACTGCGACCGTTAATTCAAACCCGAAACACCGAAGCCAAAACCCCCCAAAACCTAATCTTTGAAAACCCCGAAACCCCGGAAGCAGCCGGAACCCTAACCGCTGACCGCCAGGTGGCTGGGCCAACTCAGCGCCGCTAGTGGCGTCTCGGCCTTCAGTGCCGGGGCAGGTGCGGCGGTGGCGCTGGCCGAAAGCGAAGAGCCTGGCGAGGGTCTTGGGGAAAGCACTATCAAGTGTCTGCCTTCCTGTCACATGAACCTCCGTAAATTTCCGGCTTGGGCGTGGTTTAGGGATACGGTTTAGGTTTTAGGGTTTTGGGATACGGTTTAGGGTTTAGGGCTTTGGGTTTTGGGCTGGCCGGAGCTCAGACGTGCAAGTATGTGCTCTGTGCTTGGGAGCGGAGGACCAAAAGGAGGCGCCGTCGAGGATCTCGGGTAACGTACGGGCCTTAATGGTTTCAATACAGGCTTGGGCTCCAGAAACCCTAAGACTAATATCGGTACTTGTTTAGGCTTGTACATTTGATCAGGCTCGTAGTAAGGCGGGAGGCTGCAGCCGCAGGTGGTCCCGCAGCCGGAGTTGTCGGGCCAGGCGCGTTGGGCCAGGTCCTGGAGGGCGACGAGTCGTGCATGACAACACCAGACTGCCCAAAACGACCCACATGCAAAATGTTAACGAATTCCGAGTAAGGGTGTTCGGGCTTTACGAGGCTCCATACTTCAGACGCAGAGGGAGGGTTCTGCCATCTTGTTCCTGGAAGCCCTAAAGCCCCGAACCCTGAATTATCCGAAACCCTAAAGCCTAAATCCTAAACCCTTAACCCTAAATCCCAAATCCTAAACCCTAAATCCTAAACCCGTACACCGGTACCCTTCGCTGGGGCGGCTGGGCCTCGAGGTCCGGTGTGCTGTCCAAGGCCTCCGCTCACCGACAACACGCCGCTGACTCAGAGGCTCCAGACTTTCCGGGCGCTAAGGCTTAAGACCTTTAGGGCTGTAAGGGTCTATGGTCCCAGGGGTTCAGTAGGGCTTAGGGCTCTTTTCAGGTTTCGGCTGTAAGGGTCTATAGGCTTTTAACGGCCAAGAAGAGCTTGGAGAACCTCTCGGCTCCAGGGCCAAATCCGGCTCATGGCCCAGGCCGGAAGCCCAAGGCTCTCAGGAAGAGACCGCAGCGAACCTTCATCCTAAACTGAAACTAAGGGTAGTTCAGGGTTCCCCAAGCCCTAAACCCGACACCAGCAAAGCGCAGTTTCTCTGCATTTGCTGACCCACGGCTCGAAGGTGTCTCTTGGGCACACTACACGCTGAAAAGCTTACTGCTTCGACCGGGACTGTTGCTCGGACGTGTCTTCGCACAGTTTGCTGCACAGCTCAGTTCTTTTGGAGCAGCACCGTAAGGATACGGTGGAAGGTTGACAGTCTGGACTCACCCAAACCCACCCACTGCCAAGAAATGGCCGGCCTTCACGTGCCGCAAGAGCGTGTTAACTCGCCCTGCTTTCTGCATGGCCCTGGCAAGGAGGGAAGCTAGAGGAGATCGATTTTGGCTTCAGGGCTACAGAAAAGGCCTCGAGTTCAGGGTTTAGGGTTCAGGGCTTAGGGTTTGAGGCACAGGAAGGGTTTGGTTGCTGGCATTGAGTGCACCTCCACGGCCCTCATCCGTGACTTCGGCGGAAGCTAAGGAAGTGCCTGCTCCTTGACACAATATCTCCGTGCACGGCTGGAGACCCTTATTCCCAGTAAGCTCAAGGATGCCAAATAGATTTGGAACTTGGGGTTTTGGATGCTGTGATGCTACATCTGGGTGTTTAATTAGGCACTGAACGGGCTGAAGTCCGCTAATTCCGCTGAACACTGCTCCCAGCAGAACAGCTGGACTCCCGAATTTCAGGAGGAAGCATTCCGTCCCGACCGGATGTGCGAACTCGGATCCCCTCAACCCTTCAAAGGGGACCTCAGATGCTCAGACCGCCAAAAGACACGCGTTGAAGAGACTGTCTGGATGTTGCGACCTCATGTAGGAACCTGATTCCGAAACCCTTGATCTGATTAGGGTTCCTGATAGATGTATGCACGCAGACATATTATACATTATATATATATATATATATATAGAGAGAGAGAGAGAGAGAGAGAGAGAGCACAGAGAGAGAAAGAGATAGATATGGAGGCTATAGCGCAAAGCACACCCAGGCAGCCTCCTCTGTTTTGCAGCGAATCCGTCTGTACAAACTCTTCAAAACGCTAGTGCTTCGAGCCGACGGGACGCGGCAGCTTGGGCGGGGGATCCGGGTTTCCGGCGTTTTCCGGCTTGGTGTTGAGACTTCAGGGTGGGAAGTCGAAGGCCTTTGGGCGGACCTTGACCATTAGACCAATTTTGTCGGAACTGCAGTTCTTGAGCTGTTCCAACGATTCTACTGATTCTGGGCATGTCGCGAGGGGCTACGGGTTTGGATGTACTGGGCTTTAAATTAACTTTAAAGGATACGGGCCTGCCTAAGGGCTGGAGAACACAGCGACCAACGGGGGAAAGGTGCTATAGAACTCCTTCTCCAGAGACCTCCAGCGGAGCAGCAGCGTCGCCTGCAAGGAGGCAAGGTGATTCTTCTTCTTCCCCTCTTTTCTCCCCCGAAACTCTGAACCCCTTCGATGTTAAGCAAACAACACAACTTTCCTGAAGATACATCTCTTTGAGTCCCTCCCCTCTTTTCTCCCCCGAAACTCTGAACCCCTTCGATGTAGACCCCAGATTCAGCACGGCCCTGTGATACGGACCATGATGGCAGAATCTGCTAATACACCTCATTGCCTTGTTGACGGTCAACGGAGGAAGCCTGAACCGAAAATCCGAACGCCATGAAAACCCCTCTAGCAAACCGAAAGCCCAAAAACCGAAGCTTCCTTGAACTCAACGGCCTGGCAATGCAGCATGAGAGCCGACGGTTGGGGTTTCTGGTCTAGGGGCCGCGGCTCTATTCGACGTTGAGGAAAGAAGGTCTACACGGGCTGCTCGGGGTTTCAATCCTCTTCGGGTGTGGACTCTAGGTGTTCAGGACCTCGGCATTTACATGGCTGACTTAGAAATCTTCCACCAGGTCCGATCCCTGAAACCCTCGATTTACAGCTTCCCGCTTCAGTTTCGGGAGCTTTGGGATTTGAGGCATCCTCGAGTCCAGAACTCTAAACTTTAAAGCACTCAACCCTCGGATCCGAACAAAAGCTCCGACCCCGAAACCATCTGGGCACTCCCACCAGCGCTCGTTCTGTATAGGCTTTGAGCACCAGCGGGTCTGCAGGTAGCCTGCGGCTTCGGGGTTCCCTAGACCCCAAAGTCCCCCAACACCTTAAGCTTTAGGGCTCTTGGGGTTCGGGGGGGTGGTCGTTTTTGGCGTGGCCCCGAAACCTCAGACCTGTTTTGACCCTAGAGAGATCATAGGTGTTTGGCTTAAGTCCGTCAGGGTTTAGGAGAAGCTTCATCCATGCGCGAAATCCTGCAAGGACGGTGCCGGGCCGGGCCTGAGGCAAAGCTTCTTCAACTCCGAGAAGCCGGAGACGCTCCTTGAGCTACGACATCACAAGACATGCGACGCTCCGGAACTTGATGTACGGCTGCCGAGCTTAATATCAAACGCTCGGATATCCGGTGGCATCCGGAGAAACCCGGAAATCGGCCTGAGATGACCCGTCTGAATTCCACCCCTAACAACCCTGGTCAGCTGAAAAAGCCCTAACCCTGAAGACAACCCCTCAAAACGAATGCCGAAAACCTGGCCGAAACTTCTAAAACAAGCCCAAGCTGCTGGTGGGGGAAGGCCACAGCGCCCGAAGGACCGCACATCACAGCACCGCGGTCGAGCTCCGTGCTCATGCACTCCCTCAGGGCTTTGGCTTCAGGGCACAGCATATGCTTGAGGTGTAGGACGGTGTGGGGTTCGGGGGGTCTGGGGTGCAGGCTTCGCAGGTGCTGGCATGGATGTGCAGGTGCTTGGAGCTCAAGCTGAAGATTCTTCTCAAAACCCCAGAGTTCCGCAGCTCCATGTGTTTTGTTCAACTCTTCAAAGTCAAATTCTAAAGCGCTGGACCCTGAAACCCTATAGAAGCCTCAAAGGCGCAAGCCTAAGACCGCCAACTTCGCCAAGTCCTAGAGTCCTTCGACTCCCCGGATGCCTGAAACTCCCCCAAAAAAACAGATCTCGCCTGACGTGCAGGTCCCGCTCTTCCGGCTTGATGTGGAAGCGATCTAAGAAAGAGTTCACTAGCCTCGGTTTTTTTGGGCGGTTGGGAGCTCAACTTCTTGCCTCTCTCTTGGGGCTCTTGGAGGGATAGGGCGGATAGGGATGGGGGCTCAGGGTCTTCCAGGGTGGGCAATTCCTCCGAGAGCTCGCGCCACGGTTCTGAGGGTTCACATGTGGACAGCATTCGAGTGTCAAGAAGACGTGAGATCGTAGTCCCTTCCTGCTGGAAGTGCAGTCTCGCGTTGGCTAGAGCTTCTGCCTTGGGCTTTTCGCTGCTTCGGATTAGAGGTCCAGGTTCTAGGTCTAGGGTATCGAATTTAGGACTTAGCAATTCAGAAGTCAGCCGCGCGGCGTCGGCAAAGCTGACGGTCTCGGCAGCGTCGCCGACATGAGGATGGTTTTGTACCTCTTGAGCCCAGCTTTGACTCAGCAAACCTTAAAACTTTGGGACTTCGAGAGCGTCAAAAACTCACAATCTGAGGCTAAACCCGCAAACCTTTCAATATCTGAGAAGAAGGCAGGTGCTACGGGGGTTTCGAACAAAGACCATGATAGCGAAGCCGGCCCGCATGCCAAAAGCAAAACCTTGCTGCGTAGGGCCCGGGGAGAGACCTTATAAGTAGGCTTTAGGGGTATAGGCTTCAAGGCTTTCGGGTTTCAGGGTTTTAGGGTTTCAGGGTTTAGGGGTTTAGAGCGTCAGGGTTTCCGAGCCCAAGCCAGGGGGGGAGGAAGGGGAGAGAGAGGGAGGAAGGGGGGCCACGAGAGAGACCTTAACTACCAATAGTCAATAGTCCACGGTGCAGGTTTCCGGCTTCGGGCTGCCAGACCCTGCTTCAACCCGCTTACAAGATTCAAGCAATGACAGGGGCTCACATGGGCGTCATCATGGCTTGCATCATTGCGCAGGCCAGTGGGTTGTCCTTCAACAAAGAGGGGCTTCAGTTTCCTGCTCAGGAATGAAAGTTGGGTTCCAGGCTTTCGGGGGCCTGAACACACCCCATCCCATCGAGAGCTTAAGATTTTCTGGCCAAGACAAAGCAAACTAAAGCCAAGGACACAGGAGTCGGACCGCATGAGGCAAAGCAACCAAAAAGCAGGTGCAGCAGTCTTCCGTTATACACGCAGGATTCACGACCAGTACAGACCTCGACATCTCAACCCCGTTGCAATGTCCATCAACAGTAGACCAGCTGAAGTGTACTCCAACACCGATCTTCGCAACGTCGCAACCTCTAACCCTGAACCCTAAACACCCTCTCAATCCCTGAACCCAAGCAGCCTTGCATACCGCGATACCCTAAGCCCTAAATCCTAACCCCCAACCCTCACCCAGAAACCCCAAACCCAAAGTCCTGAACCCGAAACCTTAAACCCACCCCCAAAACCCTAAAGCCGAAAGCCGACATCCCAAGCCCCAAAACCCCAAAGCCGAACCACTGGTCCTCGGGGTTCTCTGGGTACACGTCGCTACCCATGGGCGGCTCGTCGACCACCAAGATGGTCCTGGAGAGTGGGCTGATTCTGCGGGCTTGTCTCATGAGCCGATCCGTCTACTTGGTGCAAGATTTCTTGAATAAGAGATTTGCGGGATGCGTTGGGAAGATTGCATTCCAAAGGGCTGTCCATGCCCTAAGCCCCACCTCAAAGGAATCTCTTAGTGCCTTTAAAGCCCTCCCATCTTCCACCATATAACTTCGAAACCCAAAGCTCCTGGCCCCTCCAGCCCCGGCCCCGCCCTCCCGGAGCCCTTCCCTGCCCTTTGCGCCTGTTCGGGTCGAGCTGCCTTAGAACCCAGGAGGCGCTGGCGGAGTCGCACATGAGGAAGATGCCTGAAAGGCATAAGAACAACAAGAACAATAATGTCAATCATGGTAAAAATGCTTCTCGCACAAATCTTGCTAACGCTAGGATGCCTTCAAGGCGTTTTACGGCACAAGGTTTGGGGTGTTGGTGCCTTCAGGGGTTTGCGGTTTTGGTGTTTTGGGTTGAGGGCTTCACGTTCAGGGCTTGGTGGCTTCAGGGCTTTGGGTTCCTGTAGAGCTCCTTCAGGGTTGAGGGTTGAGGGAGATGCATCAGCAAGAACGGTTGCTAATTACAACACTACTGATATACAGAGCAGTGAGCACCACTGCAACTGCCTTTGACATCAAGGAGTGAGATGACGATCGTTAGCTTCATGGCCATCATAATACTACTAGGAGAAAGTCGTCAACATTGAGTTTTGCAGTGATCCGCCGTTGCCAAGTCACGCGGGAAGCGCTTCAGGTCATGCAGATTGCCTTGCATTGAATCACCATCGACGGATGGATCAGAATTGAGGATTCGTATGTCTTGGGCATAAGGGCTCATATGGGGTTTAGAGAACTGGGTGGAATTAGGCTTTGATGGGGGGAAGGGATTTTGGGTATGAAGCTGCCGAGCTGAGGCTTGCGCTCTGGGTGAGAGTTCTAGCTCGGGAGTCCTTCTGTGACATCGCTGCAGTGACAGCCCTCCAGAATGTCTGACCAGCACACTGGAAGTTGGCTGGTGATGTTCTACCGATACATTTGTTGTCCGCAGCGCTGGTGACGCTGGTGATGCTGATCATAATGATGATAGTGATGGTGATGGTGACGGTGATGGTGATTGCTGGACCCTTGATCCTGAGCAGGCAGCCCACAACCGCCCACCCCTCGGCGTTCGACAATGAAATCCAAACCCGACCCTCCCGGTTCCGCTGCTCCCTGGCTGCCAGCGAGGGGCGCTTCCTCTTCTTCTCTGCTAGCCGCTTCTTCTTTCGCTCGAGATTCAGCTTCACGACCTCGGGATGCCCGAGCCGAAGATGGGACACTGGGCTTCATGGAGAACTTTATAGAACAGGCCATAATCATGCGGACACCTCTACTCTCAGCGAGGTAGGGCAGCGGCCATGTATCTGAGGCACTCCACAGCAGACTGGGCCGGCCTGAGTCGAACCGCACGGGTTGTCTTAGAGGGTACATAGCAACTGCAACTTCCCGGTATAAGCCTACGCAACAAGACTTGTTCCGAGTTTTGTCGGCCTTGGCCTGAGCAATGTCGAGGTACCGGCTTAGGTCTTAGGACCAAATCGGGCTTCAAAGGCCCGACGGTTCAGGAGACACGGTTTAGCATTGGGTTCTTCAAGGCTACCGACATCGACGTCGATGTCGCGGGGTGGTAGGGGGCATGGGAAGTAGATGTCTCACCTCGAGCTCTCAAGCCGAGAACAGAAGGAAAGCTACTACCGAATCAACATCCACATCCGAAACCCCAAGTTGAAATCTTTTCTCAAAACCCTAAGACCCCAACCCTAGACTGTCACCTCAACCCAAAACGAACAACCCCCTGAACCGCCCACGGCTCAACAAAAAGAAACGAAACAGCTCCCTTCTTTCCGCCGCAAGCTGCTTGTTGGGCTCCGCCGGCATGTCCACGTGCGTGCCCAGGCCGCGGCCGCAGGAGTAGCTCGGGGTGATCCTTCGGCCCTTGCCTCGCAGACTGCAGGCTGAGTCCCCCCCCGCCCCCGAAACCGAAATCCCCCCCAAAAAAGGGCCACAGAGTACTAGACTGGACCCAATATAGAGGTTTTAGGGTTCAGGGTACCTTAAACCCTAAACAAAAAGAGAGATCGAGAGACGGAGGAGTATGAAAGGAAGTGTGGGTATGAGGGTCGGAATGCCAGGAACTCTCGCGCAGAATACGAAGAGCAACACGAAAGATGCTCCTTCACCGGCCCTTCTCTCGGCACACGCCGAAGATGATGCATGCAAATGGAATACTACTTGAGGGTTTAGGGTTTAGGGTTATAGTACCACAAGCACCGGCACCACCAACACGAAGCCAGCACCAAAAAAGCGAAGCACGAGAGAAAACGCCCAAGCGTCAACAAAAACCCCGTTTGGGGCAGGGCCAAAGTGTCCAAGGCGCAGAAGGCGTAGGGAATCCCCAGAGTGTTGGAGATGCGGCCCACGCTGAGCACCACGGGCAGAGCCGGGCAGCAGAAGACAAGCCTAACAAAAAAGGGCTTGAATGATTAGAATAGGGTTCTGGGATCCATTATACTATAAATTAGGGTTTCGGCTTTGGCCGAACCCCCAAACCCCCACACTTCCCATCGAAATCTCGCGCTTTTGTCTCCGAGGATATCAGCTCAATCTCTGGGTCATCGTCCGAGTCGATTACGTCCATGACGTCAATCACATCCCGGGCACCTGCGGACCGAGTAGTTGCAATTGTTATCATTTCAACCAGCTCTTTGCTGCTTGAGCCGCTGCTTCAACCTGCTGCCATACCCTGGAACTGAGAAGCCCTAAAACAAGAGAGCATACCCACCGCCAGCCAGAGTCACCAAAAAAGGGAATGAGGGGTTCAACATTTGGGGCCTGGACTGCCTGAAGCAGGCTTTGGGGTCGGTTATGGTATATAGTCAAAAGTTACATGAGGGGCGCGATCGTCAGTTGCGATTCTTCAGATCTTCAGACTTTCATCTAACGGGTCCCAAGACCTGGGTCGAAGGACGGCGCGTCCGGAGCGCTGGCGCTCCTGCAGCCGAGACACGTCGAGACCATGAATATGTGTGGTTGTCAGAACGGAGTGCCTTTCTAGGAAACTTCAAGTATAAAATCCTAAACCCTAACCCAAGTTTCGAAAGACTACGGGATCAACGGGCACCACAGGCAGGACATCCGGAAAGCAAAGCAAACAAACACACATATATGGGTGGTTCTCTAAGCTAGGCTCCGATTTCTGGGGCCATCTTACAAGGCTGCCGCCTTCATTGGGGTTTGCGCCAAGCTTTAGTTTATCGGTGTTTTAGTGGTCAGCTTCGGGGTGTCGCAGCGTGACTCGAACCCCATGCGAAGCTACCGGAGCCTCGAATCGGAGATCCGAACCCCCAACAGCGCCGACGGTCATGCTTCAGACCGGTTCTTATAAGGCGACTCGTGGGTTACTATAAGGGTGCTGTAGCTTGCTCAAAGACTACAGTATAAGACTACAACATACAATTATAAAAAAAACTATAATATACTATGATATTCCATAATATACCATAATATACGATAACATACCATAATATACCACCATATACCACAGTATAAGACTATGACTATGAAGTTAAAGATAATATATGTCTACAATACTATAACTATCATATATATGACTATGATATACGATGATATATGACTATGATATACCACAATATACCATAATATACCATAATAAACCATGTAATACCATAATATACCTTGGTATAAGACTACAAAGCTAGAGGATTCTTTGAAACCATTATACTATATCATACTATAACCATCATATAGGACTATGATATACGATGATACAAGACTATGAAGTTAGAGGATACTTTGAAACCCAGGGAAGTCCAAGCCGGGCCCGGGCCTGGCGGCCTCGGCGACTTCCGGCGCCTCCGGCGCCGGGGCCTCCCCCGGCTTGGCCTCCGAACAAGCAAAAGAGGATATTATCAATATTATAGTCTGTTATAGTCTACTCTAGTATATTTTATAGTCTATTCTTGTATGTTATAGTCTATTCTAGTATATTATCGTCTCTTCTAGTATATTAGAGAGAGGAGGTGCTCGTCCTTGTATTCTTTGCTCCACTAGGGTGCTGTTTACAAAAGGGGTGTAGATGTGAGGGGCTGAGGAGCTCGAAGATATGGGAGACCTCGAGCAAGCTCGAATCCAAAGAAAAGCTTCAAACGGCCAAGCTCCTGCACCTGCACCCTCGGTTCAGCAACCCTCCTAAAGCTCCGAGATCATTAAGGCATCAGACATCATGGGAATGCTCACAAACTCAAGCATTCACCGAGATGTGCCAAACTCTGGGAATTCCAAGGTCGCACTCGAAGGAGCTCGTCAAGAAGCCTTGCCCGTCACAGGACTCGAAAGCAGCGACCCAAAAACTTGAAACGCCGTTACAACACCCCAAAACGTAGACCCACGGCATGCTGAAGAAGCCTCTGAGCCCCGATAAGGACCTAAGATAACACTACAAGGAACAACCCGAAGTCCTCTGCACCCTTTCCCGAAGCACCGCCTTTGGCCGAAAGAAGCGCGACAGCGTCACCGCCGGGACCCCTGCTGCCACGGGCCAACAAAACAACTCCGTACCGGCATGCCATTACGAAGGGATGTACTTGTGTTGTGCCATGGAGGCTATCTGGGTTTAGGTTCATGAAATCTTGTTCTGGTGGCTATCTGGGGATAGCGTTGAAAGACAAGCTGCCGAAGTTTGAGGGTTGCTTGGGAGTCGAGCCTTGGAGTTAGGAAATTTGCCGGACCTCGTAGGCCATCGATACATTGGACTCGGGGGTTTTTGGGTGCCGCCATAGTACAGTAGAGCAGACTATAATACAACTACATGTAATGTGGCATAAAGTTTGATCTCGTAGCTAAGAAATGACTGGATGTCTCTCAAATTAACGGAGGGTTGGAGCTTCTAGGCGTTTCATGGGGTCGCCATGCCTGAAAAACCCCGAAACCCTAAACCCTTGAGAAACCTTTAAACCCTTAAACCCCCAACCTTAGGCTCCAACACAAGTCTGCCTGCAGGGGCCCCCGGGGCGGCGTTCTTCCCGCTTTCTGGCGTTTTCTTACGAAGAGCGGCCGCCGCCCCGCGCTCTGGAAGCATGTCTCCTGGGCTCAGGCTTGGGACCAGATCCTACGTACACCCGAAAGTTAAGCTCCATCCCAAGCCCCATAAACCCAGATCGCCCTGCAATCCAAAGCTCGGTTCCAGCGCACCTCCTCGCGCCGGAGTGCGGGCGCCCAGGTCGGTGGAAAAGGCCGGGGCAGTCGCTCTGCCTCCGCCTCAAAGGTTTCGGGGCTCAGTTTGGAGTTTAGGCTTAGGCGGGTCTGAGGTCTAGCCTCTTGGGTTAGGCATGTCGGGAATTAGGGTTCAGCGCTGTAGCAGCTTTGATTACTTGGCCTGTTGCTTTTAGGTCAGCAGCAGGCCCGTGGAACTCCAGGTTCCTGTGATCGTCGTGCCGTTTCCGGTCTCGTTATGAAAAACTGCTGGCTTTTGTGATGTGCGCCACTGATTACACTGACGCGTTCTGAAATTCTGAGCTCTGTGATGATCATCGTCTCCTTCTCCTTCTTCATCACCCTCCTTGTCCTCACTCTCATCCTGATCATCAGCACGAGACTCGTCATCCACTACCTCAACAATCCTTACCATCAACCCAATCATCATCATCATCACGCAATCACCGACACCATCCCTGTCTGCGGCTCATGTCTATTCCTGCTCTGGTCTCATGGCTCTGGCCTTGCGGAAAATCATGACGTCCTCGGCGTCAAGCTGCGCCACCACTTTCTCGCGAACGGCTTCAGGCAGACGCCTTCATGACTTCAGAGCTGACTTCGGCATGTGCAAGAGTTTCTGCGAGAGTTAGTGGGTCGTGCGAGCGGCACAGACGAAAACACCTTCGTGCCGCCTGACGAGGCTGAAGCAGTACGATGTTTCACTAGAGCTCTTTTCGCTCCGAAACTCCACGACTCCCCTGAAACATTCCTTGGCTACGGCGATGCCGTTGCTGATGATGACGATGCTAGTGACCAATATCGTTATCAGCATCAGAAGAAGACATAATACTCTAATAATTCTCAGACTCACGGTTTCTCTCAACGAAAGGTACGGACAAAGCCGCCAAGGCTCCAGCAGCCCATCTCCCCGGGGCAGGGCACGGGAGTCTTGAGCCGCAACCTCGGATGCAACCCCCTCGACTGGGTCCATTTCTTGCACATACCATGACAACGACGGTTGTGAGTATTGTAACTGTTTATGTCAGTACCGCCATCGTTTCTCTATGATTGCTACTACTATCAAGATTGGTGACTTTGGTGCCATTATTCGCATCCCGAGTGTATGATGAAGCATGCTAAGGCCACTCGCTCCATCTCTCTCTCTCTCTCTCTCCCTCTTCTTTTGCAGGGCTTGTGGGATGTGCGAGATGCCCCGGCCACTAGGGACCCCCAGATGTTATGGGGCTTCGAAGGGATCGTGAAAAATGGTTACAGTTCACAGCGTGCGGTACATGTGTTCTCCGAGCTTTGGAAAACATTGCAAATTATTGCCGCTTTCCGAACATGTGCCGGCCGACTGGGCGTTCGTGGACGGAGAAAACGGAGCGAGATTTAGTTGGTCTGGTCCTCTCGAAGATTACAACTCTCTCCATATCTTTCTTTCCACAGGGTTGTTGTGAGCAGTATTTCCCTCTCCATCTCACTCTCCCTCCCCCGCTCACTGGTCGTGTTTTGGAATAGTGCGAGTGAAGGCTTCAGGGTTTTGAGGTCGAGTTTTGTCGGGACACCGGTTCGAGCTGCTGCTGGGACATCGGCTGGTCTCCACTCTACGAGGAAACTCAAATGCCACGCTCGCCCGAGACCTGCAAACCAAATTGAAACGAAGCCCTGTTGCTCTGTGGCTGCGAGGTCATAATATCCACAGCGCCCGAAGTTCGAGAGCCTAGCCCCACTGGAGAAGCAAAGCGGCGAAGCCGACAGGATGTTGCAAATGGGGCCGCCGGCGTGCGGGCCTCAACTGACTGCCTTTGGGCAACTACCGGGCTGTACGTTCGGACGTGCTTTCGCATAACCGGATCTAAGGTGTAAGGGCTTGAAGTTTGAAGGCAAAGGCTCAAGACTCAATATACTAGAATATACTATAACATACTATAACAAATAATATACTTTCTTCTCATTGTAGAATAATATACCAAGCTTCACGTCGTAGGGTTGGAGCTTGTGGGGGCTCGCCGTTTCAGATCGCTCCGAGGCTCTAAATGTGCAGCCGTCGACGTGCTGCACATCGCCAGCGGGGCTGTCGCAGTCCTGGCCGGGACGCCAAGTCTGGCGCATTGGGCTTGGCCTTGCGGCTGTTAACAGTTGGGCTGTGGGGCTTCGGGGCTGTAGGCTTGTGGGGTTGCGTGTTAGTACAAAACCCTCGACCCTGAACTTCTGGTGACCCTGTCCTGGGAGCACTCCATTTCCGCCCGCAGCTCGGGAAAGCGCACCTTCGGCTTAAACACCAGGGTCAGGCTGTAGGGCCTTGGGCTTTGAAATCGGGTGTGGGGGTTTGGAGTTTTGGGTTGGGGCTTTAGGCTTGGGGTGTTGGGTTTGAAGTTTGTGATTACTGATTCCTCACCATGACCTCCAGGCAAGCAGACATAGGATAAAAGGCTGCCTGTAAAGCTTGGTGTGGTCAGATTTAAGCTTTACCTTTCGTCTCCATTGCGGTCCCTTTTTGGCTGAATCACCACAAAACTCGCTAACCAGTTGGCTGATTAATTTTGTCATATTGGATCCTACCCACAAACTGGCTAACCAGAAAAAGGAACTACAACGGAGACTTTAGGTAGGTTTCGGCTAAGCATGGCCAAGTGGTCCCCTGGATGATGTCAGATCGGATTAGATCGTAGAGTCCCTTCACGGAGCACTTTGGATTTGTCTGCTTTGCAACTCAAGAAGTACCTGAACAAGTTAGCAATCAGACGCGAATCCATAGTGTCCGAAATGCGAGAGACCCGTTGTTTTTCCCTTCGCCTGGAAGCCTCGCCTCGAAGTTTCGAAACCTCTCTCCGATGCTCCGGGAACCTCCCCAAAGCCGATGTTTTCGAAATCCTCCTCTTTGCCGGGATGGCGCCGATCTCTCGACAAAAGCAGCTCCAACGACGTAGCCCTTCCTGGGAGCCCCAATTCAGAATTCAGGGTTTGAGCTGGTTTGAATAGACCGTTCACTTGCGAAGTTGAACCTCACAATCTCAAGGTTCTCAACCTAAGGTAACATGCTTTGGCTGCTAGGAGTTGGTGGCTTCGGACTTAAGCACTCCACGCATCTGCAGATGCTGGACCCTCTCGGTTTTCATTGATTCGTTACCTCATAGCTGTGTCACCGGAACCTCACTGCTTCTAGGCAAACCAAGCCGTGTTACGGGCACTCGGAATCCGACGGCAACGGCTTTTCTGCCAGCTTGCGCATGATGGCGTCCTCTGCGAGACCGCATCGCCAATTTAGAGAGTAGTGGAAGTTTTCTGGAAGCTCAGCCCTACGAGCGTTCAGCCTTCACGCTCTAGAACACATGTGTGGGACCTTGAAACCTCGGACATTGCATCTACAAATTGGGCAGCTTGAGCTTCGTCAATGAAGAGCTTCCGGCTTGAAGGCTCTCGGTGAAGAAGTTTGGTTTAAGGTTTCAAGCCTCAGCTTGCCATGGAAGCCAAGCACAAAAACACCTAGATCCCAAATGCTCTGTTGCGCTGAGAACCGCACCAGTCGGAGGTCGCACTTCCCCTGCAGCGAATCGCCAGGCACTACAGCTTGAGGGGACTCAAGTCCAAGCTTCGGCTTAGCGCTAGCATCAGTACTGCTGAGCCCAAAATCCTACTAAACCCTTACCGCCAGACAAGATGTGAGCCCAAAGCAGAATCCATCGGCAACCAGCCAGAAAAGCCTACCAAAACACCGAATCGCTCGCATCGAAAACCCGCGCCTTCCCCGTGTGCAGAGCGATCCACCCCAGAGGCAGATGGACGGATCGGTTCTCGACGTCCTGGCGCTCGGTTTCTTGGAAGTTCATGACTTTCCTGGGCTTACTAACACCCTTCTAAACCTCAAGTTATCCCAAAGCCGAAGCGGGAATTACACCCTTATCTCAAAACCCCCCCACACTTTCAGGCCAGGGATTTCCGAAGCTGTTGCAGGTGCGCCTTGTATCCGTGCAAGATTGCTTCGGTGATGACGCTGCCTCGGGGTCTTCGGATTAAGGCTTCACGGCCTTGGCCCTGGCTACGGTGAAAGGCTTCGAGTTTGGGTCGAGGGTTTCTGGGCTTAGAATTTCACGGCATCCGTCTGAATCCCGGGGCTTTCGACCAAAAACCAGAGAACCCCAAACCCCTTCAAAGGCACTGGTTGTCCAAGCCACCTTTCAGAGTGATCGCCATGGAGATGTCTGTCGGGGGCTCCTGGAAGCATCAAGGCGGAGATACGTTGGTTTATGCCTTCGTCATGTTGGCTTAAGCTTTGAGATTTGGATTTGCGGATCTAGGACGTACAGGGAACAACTGTTCATCTTGGGCGCTAAAAGAGGCCAGCACACACACACACACATATATATATATATATATATATACACTCACACCCTGCAACGCTGCAACTTTGCTGTTCGCCAGGCTCCAGGGACTTCGAAGTCGCCGGCGCCGAGCGCCGGCGCTTGGCGGGGGGCTGTGCCATGGCGTCCCGGGAAAAGGGGCCCGGGAGACGGGGGCAGGATATGGGGGCCAATTAAGACTTTGGGTTTTCAGGATTGGGGTTCAGGGGTTCAGGGTTCAGGGGTTTGGGGCTTTGGCAGGGTTCGGGGGGGCTCGCGGTTCGTGATGCGGCGTTGGGGCTGCTTAGCTGCAGAGTCTGGTAGACCTACGGGCTTCAAGAGCTCTGGACTTTGAACACACGAATCAAAGCCAAGCCCCTCACAGCTCTCTGCCTGTGTAGTTGCAAGACCTGAGGTTTTTTGCACTCTTAATGTAGCGACGTTACGGATGTTCGAGCCTGGTCTGTAGAAGCCTAGGCTGGAAGGTTCGGAGGGCAACAGGATTCCGGTGCAGGGTGCCCCCGTTGAACCTGATCGTCCCAAGCTCAAAGCCGCATCCCCTGAAACCCTGAACTCAAACCTGTGGCACTCTCGACCTCAATGGCCGGCATCCACATGATAGCCAAGCAGCGTATGGACAGGAAAAAGGTTCCTCGGCAAAGGATTTCGCAGCTTGCTTGAGGCTTGCAGTATACATCCCAACTAAGTTCAAGTTCAGGACTTATGAAGAAGCAAAGTTCACCCTCAAAGCCACAGCTCGGCAAAAGCCAAAAAGGCTCAAATCCTGCACCAACCCTGCCTGAACCGCACAAAATGATATGCCCAAAGCTCAGAATGTGAGACACCACGGCGGTCTTGCCCGTGCCAGGCGGTGCGATGCCGAAGACCAGCTGCGGTCCTCCGACGCTCTCCGAGCAGCTCTGAAGGGAAGCCGTGCAGGGTTTAGGACGTGGCTTGCTTTGACAAACCATGTGCCGCTGGATCCGTCCTGGCTGGAGGATGGCATCGATCATCAGCTCCTCCGGACTCGACAGCTACACGGACAGTCAAAAAAGAAAATCAGGAGCCACGACCCTCTAAGGCCCTTAGCATGCATTCCTTTGCGGTCGCGAGAAGCGACCCCCCCCCGTCTGGATCCTACTGGCAGGATCCTGATTAGATAGTCCGCGAATCGACTGTGCTTTCGGAAGATCCACATGCTACAGCTGCCCCCGAGCTTTTCTCCTCGGACTCCTATTGATGTATGGTATGTTTGCGGGCTCTGGGCTTCGGCAAAGGCAGAGGCTTAATTCAGGGCCCAGTGCAGGACCAATTCTTTAGACCGCACCTGGATCTTGAACGGCTTGAAGACCGTGGTGCGGTGCTTCTTGGCGAAGCCACCTCGGCACTCTTGTTTCACGGGAGTTGGAAGAGTGCAGTTTTCTCTTCCGTTTACTCGGTTCGAAGGGGTGTTCTTGGAAGACCTGTCTGCAACCAGGACTTCGTCATGCATCCATTCGAGATGGGCTGAGGTGTTCCTTCTAGGGGGTCCTGCCATCATGCATATGTCCACATGCCGTTGAAGCGGCTGCCAGCCAGCAGGTGGGCGCCATTCTGGAGGTACCAAAGGAGATCGAACTTGGCCTGGGATTCCAAGGGTCGGTGCAGGGTAGTTGCAGGCCTTTGCTTGAGATCTTGTGGCATCTTAAGGAGGTACTGTAGGGCGAGAACAGTTAGACTCCAGGGCCGCGCGCTTGCAAGGTTGTCAGAAGCTCAGAGGTACTCACCAAGACCATTCCTGCTGGAAGACACTCATGTGCGCCCGGATAAGACTAGGCACATCCTGGTAAGACTGGATTGAAACTTAGTCTAGAGCAACACGCTGTCTTTCTTTTGCCGCTGCAGTGCTGTGTGAATAGTGAGTACTCTTGGCATGATGAAATTGTTGTTGTTGTTGTTGTTGTTGTTGCTCTGGTCATTGCTGTTATGATGTTGGTGGCTCCCTTCTTGCAGCTGCAGCGACCCCTGCAACAGAGCCCTCGCGGAAGCGAGTCTGCAGGGCCAGGGCGTCCTGCAGCGGCAAGACATCCTGCAAAGCGAGGGCTGGTGGTCGGAGATTACAGTCACCTTAGGGCCTCAGGGCTTCAGTTGTTTGCTTGAGGCTTGCAGTGTTTAGTAGTTCGGGCTTCTTGGGCTCAAGGTTGCTTCGAGGGTTTGTAGTCAAGACAGTAGGGAGGAATGTAGCTCGTGACGGGCTACTTGGGGCTGTCTGCTTGTAAACCTGCAAAAAAAAGCTGCCTATTGTTCCCAATGATCCACATTCGGATCGGACTCCGAATGCCAGACCATGAATCCTTGACTCCGCGTCTAGGCGAAGAGTTTGCCGGCTTTTATGTCTTGGGAATAGGGCCCAACTGGATCCTGCGCCCTGAAACTCCAAACCCGAGAACCGAAACAGCACGGAGTTTGCCGCAGCTAAGGGACCAGGGCATGGGGCACAAGACTGGGTTGAAGAGTCAGTTGCGAGTCTAGTTTCACGGTTCGGGCTCCAGTTCGTTAGGTGTAAGAGTGTAAGAAGGTTGCGTTAAGCAGTGCAAGTGGAAGCCCTAAGAACCCCAAAACTCGTAAGCCTCCCAGAAGTGACCTGAACCCTCAGGCCCCTCCACCCAGGCACCCCCCAAAAAGCACCGGTCTTCGATTGAGGGCCTCCAGGGAGTTCTGTGGGAACTCGAAGGAGTACCTGAGGACGGAAAGGTCATCCGACCGTAGCGAGCCCAATACCAACGTTTAAAACCCGAAACCAACCTGACATGATAGCCCCAAGCCGCTTGTATCGGCTTCGATGAGCTGAGCTTCTCTTGATGTTCATGCCATAAGGTACCCCAACCATTGCCATACTTACCGCTGCCGCGCTGGTATAAAGCTACAGACGACTACCAGTACCCATGACAGTGTTGCTGATGATCACGAGGCTCATTGCGGTGACAATGATGCTGAACATGAGATGATGTGGTCATGATTCTAACTATGACCTGGCAAACGAAACCACAGTACGATGATCCTCAAATCGAGCTGGGCGGCTGCTTCTTGATGAGGCCGATGGCATCGGCCAAGGACTGGCACATCTCCTGGGCTTGTTTAAAGCTGTTCGGGAGCCTGGGGCGTTCCTGAAATCTGCACTGGCCTTTGGTTTTCTTTAAGATTGATCCTAAACCAGAAACCCCTAAAAGCTGAACCCTGAACCCTAAACGGCTAAACTCTACACCGTGGGATCTGCAAGGGACTCTTGGAGCGGAGGGATGAGCGCAATGCCTTTAAGGCTTAGGGACTTTGGGTTTAGGGTTTGGGGTCCTGCTCTGATTTGGAATGGGCTTTCTGGGACTTGGGCACGTCGGATCTGTGGAAGCTGACCGATCCCCAAGACCTACAGCCAGAAGTCCAATAGCTCTACACCCAGACGCCCTACACAACTCGACCCTGAATGTCCGAAGCTCTATGGGACAAAGCATGACCAATAAAAAACGCTCAACAGTGAAATAAAGCAGGCACTGAATACTGCCAAGAGGGCGTAGTAGAGATTGAGGTCGGGAACCTCCTGAAGCCCCGGCGGAAGGCGCTTTTGGGGGACCGTTTTACAGGGCCGTGGTCTTGGCATACGAGCTGTAAGGTTTCCGGTTTGGCGGTTTAGGGCTTTCTCTTGGTATTTTCATGATACGGCTCAGGCTTCTCGCAGAGACCGTGAGATCCGCAGCGAGGTTGAGAGTGCGAGTTCTGATCGGGAATTGGTAAGCTTTTGTAGAACTTCACGTGCTCCATGAAACCGGGTCTTCCCCCAAAATTCGCAAGCGAGAGCCTTCTTCTTCTTGGCGCTGTACTCTAGTGCCATGGATGTTCGCCTTGGAAGGTTAAAAGCTGAAGAACTGAAGGGCTGCAAGCTGCGGGGCGGCAAGGGGATTTCGGCATAGACAAAGCCCTAAACTTTGCCCCTGAACGGGTGGTGCACATCTTTGATCACCAAACTTGCGCAAACTTCTTGCAGAGCCAGGCGCATGATGTGCGCCAGCTGGAACTCCCAGGGAGTCAACCTCTTCCCAGGTCAGGTCTCAGGGCTCGCAACACGTCAAATTCTGGACTCAAGGAAAACGGTTTCGGAAGTGTGGGTTGCGGGACGTGCGCTCGGAGTTGTGGGGAAAGAAGAGCCTGCCAAGCGCTCAACAGCCCAAAGCCAGGCTCTCGCGCGTTCTTCGGGAAAGCTCGGATCGGCTCTGCTTCGCTATCGGACCCTGAAAGGTGGAGCCAAAGAGCCGAAAGTACAAGGTCCCTGACTTCAAGGACCGGTGACAGTTTGCAGGATCCCAGCCGAAGCAACAGATCCTAGGACCTTGAACACGAAACGAGATTTCCTGGCGAACCAGACCCTCAGACTGCGAAGCCCCGAACCTGAAGCCAGACGAAAACCCTAGATTCCCTAGACTCTGGAACCTGCTTCCGGCCTGGGAATGTCTTTCTCATCCACCAGGTTCACCCATCCGGTTGTGATTGTCTTGTTCTTGCCGGACCTGATTGGCATCGTGGGGTCCAGGTGCTCAGCAGGTAGGGCTTGGGTTTATTTCTGAGTTTGATGATTGGGACCGGGAGAACTCTAAAGGCAGGCTTCGGGTTTTCGGTCTGGGCTTTCGAGGGTGATCCATTCCTAGGGCGTGGAGATGGCGGAACTCCTGAAATCTCCAGAACGAGCAAAGGTGCTCTCCGTAGATCATGTTCTTGATCAGGTTTTGCACCTGCCAGGTGGTCGTCAGAATTTGATGTTTTGAAGGGCCCTTGCAACCCCAATTATTTGCAAGGGCTTGTCACGGCTGGTCCATCCCGAACCATGCGTCTTGAACCCAACGGGGTTGCATCTTGGATCTTGCAGCTCCACCCTGCTTCTTCTCATCAAGTCCTCGTCATGAGATACCTCACCCGAACTTAGCTTTCACCCCAAACTTCAAGCACCCAAACCATGTCTTCAATCCCAAGTCACCCCAAGCACAGAGCCCGAAGCACAAACAACCCTTAACTCTGCAAGAGCCAAGGCCTTTCACCTACGGAACTCTCGAAGTAAACCCGTGTGGACCTGCAGCTTCTCTTTCTGGTTGAGCTGCACCGCATCTTTCTTCTTTTTCTTATCCTCAGTCGGGGCGAGGGCTTTGCATGAAGCCCAGACTTCTGAATCCTAAACCCCAATTGCCGAAGTCCCCGTCCCAACTCGCGGGGTCCAAACTGCAGCTCCCCAACATCCGAAGTCTTAAACCAACGATCTAAATTTAGGTCTGTTAAAGGCCTGCGCACAAGATCCTGCAGCCAAGGCGCTTTGGCGTCTTTCTTGTCCTTCTTATCCTTCTTGTCATCCTGTTGAGACAGCACTGCATCCCTACAATGCTGCTCTTCGGATTCAGAGCCCCCGATCGCGCAACGCTTTCAGGGAAAGCTTGGTACCCTGAACCCAGAAAGGGTTATACGGCCGAAACAGACCAAACCCCAAACACTGTTTGCAACCTCCAGATCCTGCACTCCAAACCAAGACTTCCGAAGAACCCCACAAAAAGAATCGGAAAAGTCGTAACGGCGACCTTTCCCGGTGCCTCCTCTTTCTTGTCCTTTTTGTCCTTCTTGTCCTTGTCGTCCTTCTTGTCTTTCTTATCTTTCTTGTCTTTTTCCTCCTGGAGGGGCGCGGAGCTCGACTTGTCTTTTTGGCTGGGGTTTTTGGGGGATTGGGGATGAAGGCGTTGAGCAACGAGTTAGTTCTCTGAAACACTGCAGGAAAGCGATCACCGAAGGTAGCGGTCCTCCTTCTTCTTAACAGCCGGCATGAACCTGGGTTTGTGGATTGTAAGCCTCCCGGCTCAGAAGGGGGTGCCCTTTCACAAGCTATGCCCCCCTGCATGCCTTGAAGACAAAGCCACGGGACGAACTAGCTCTCAGAAACCTAACCTCGCAGCCCTTCGAAAATCGTGAGCTGCCTTCATGCTTGCCAGACCGACCTCGAAGACGATCCCTGAAGCCTCTTGCCCGGCTCTAGGATCCAATTGACGGCCAAGCTGCTCGCCGAGGACTTCCTGGCACATGAAGCGCAAGGTTGTAGGGTCTTTCGGACGTTAAGGGGATCTGCTTCATCGTGCGAGTGCTCTAAAGGATCCATGGCAGCTTGAAGCAGAGAAGCGCTGCAAGTTGTTGCCAAAGGCTGTAGGGCAGTACCACCGCCACCGCGACAGGCCATGTACAGGGCCCGAGTTGTGCAGAAACCGCAAAAGCCGTGTTGACCATACCACGAACCTGCTTCCCTGCACACACTGCAAGCCCTAGATTGACGGAGCCTCGACATCCGGAATGCCGTACTTCTCGAGCTCCTGTGACGAGCGAAGCGACGAAGCATGTGCTTGCTGCTCTTGAGCTTCGGGGTGATCCAACAACTTGACTTATGTCTGTTTCCGCTCGGAGTAGCTCCTGAGCTTCAGGATATCCCGAGATCCCTCCCAACCGGTAACCGCCAGCATGTAAAGAAAACAGTGTCGTGTCCGGTACCCTTGCTCAGGCTACCCCTCCGAACCCTCAAACCCAAGCTCAATCGCCTCGTCGCTGAGCTCCACCATCTTTGACTTGGTCTCTTCCAACTTCGGTCGGACGACCCTGGCAGGGGATTTAGCGTTTTGAGCAGCACTACTCCGGGGCTTGGCACCCTTTTGGGAGAAGGTGCTCCTTGTTTCGGGCTTGGGGTGGGAAGGTACTGGCTTCCAGTTCCAGCTAGCATGGGAGCTTCTGGTGACGGGCAACACGTGTCAGCAACTCAGTGCTTGTAGTCTGGGACTAAGGCCCAGATGCATCTGGGTCCAAATCCCCAAAAATCTCTGCAACCAGAAGCCTCTGGTCTCGCTTAGACTCCGGATGACACCCAAGAACCACAAGGACGTGCCAGCATGAAGACGGGCACCCCTGAACACTGAAGCAGAGGCTCTTTTTATCGGCTGAAAGGGCAGCAGGGTAGCAAGCGCCTGTACCACAGCCAGTTGGTGAAGGACAAAGCGGAGAAGCTACCCCGGTAGTTCAACTTGGACTCCTGGCCATGTCGGCGGGACGACTTTCAAAGAGTCGTTTGAGCCTAAGACTGAAGCTGTAGGGATTGAGTTGGAGTTCAAGCTCAGGGTGGTGAGTTCCTGCGTTGTCTGTACCTACACTGACTACAAATCCTGGCACTAACACAACCGCAAAATGCCCGAAGCCTTCGGGGACATCGAACCGCTCCAAGACTGACCTCCCCCGAACAAGTCTGAAGAACTCAGTCCAACGTCCAACATCCTAAATCTTAGCGCTTCCGCCTACCTGCCTGGCGCCTGCAGTACCTAGACCGCAGCTAGCGTGAGGATGTCATTGCATGTCACGCAGTTCGTGTCGGCTGGAGCAAGGGCAACTAGGGTTCTGGATTGATCGGCCCAGAAATTGAACAGCAAGGAGAACACATGCAAAACTGAAATGCAAACGCATAAAAACCATGAAGACCTCACACAAAACCCCGCATCCAGTGCTCTAAAACCCACATCAATCTAAGTCCCTGTTGCACCGATCCAGCCGCAAGGCCTGAAAGGCCAAGTTCACAGAACTCCAGTTCTTCTGCTTCTCGACGGTCCCTACCGCCTCCTTGTCCTCCTCCTCCTCAGAAGAGTTTTGAGTCTTGGGATAGGCCCAAGGCGTGGGGGGGTCCGGTGAGTGACGTCTTCGGGACCAGCTCAGGGCCCTCGGCTGCGGGCGTAGACCCAAACGACTTGGAGACCCCCCGGCCTGCTTCTTCCGCGCCGTGTCACGCGGATCCTCGTCGTCGCTCTCTGCGGCATCGCCTTGCAAAGGGGCTTTCACGGATCCCTTCGTTGAGGCCTATGAGAGTAAGATCCACGAGCCGATCTTTGTGAAGACAAACCCCTGACATCGTCTAAGTCCTCGAGCACCCTAGGTCCTAGAGAAGGTGCCTCCTTCCGGAGCATCGCCGCCGTTCTCGATGAGAGCGAGCATCTCGGGATCATCGTCATCCTCGGGACAGCATGGGAAAGCACCACAAAGCTTGAGGTCTTTAGGGTGGTCCAGGGTTTAAGGGCTTTAGGGTTCGTTGGGTCTACGGCTCAAGATTTTGAGGAGGCAGAAGGACCACAGCCAGAGACGAGCACAAACCCTGAAAACAAGGAAGCCTTTCGAAGCAAGATCCTGTTCCGACGGGGGCATTCTGGCATTCGTTTCGGTTCGCAGAACAGAACCCCAACACCTCCTTCGGGGTTTCCCCCATGCTTTCGAGCCTTCAAGGCACGGGTTCCCCCCTAAGGCTCCAACCATATGATTTTGGGACTTTACACTCCCTCACGCCCGTAAACTCCACAATTCCCCTCGGAATACACCCCCAACCGCCTCTGCACAGCAAAGACGTTTGCATAAGCTTAGAAGAAAGGTCTCGGGCCCATCGGGCCCGGCCTCCTCTTCCTCCTCTTTCTCCTTGACGCCGGCGGCTTTCGCCCGCTCCATGAAGAAAATCTGCCGCGCGATTTTTGCCCGAGTGCTTCAAGGGATGGGGCCGATAGGGTTTAGGGTGCACGGTGAAACTGGGCCGTAGAGAAAAGCTCCAGAACTCAGACACCGTGGCCTTCATCCTTAAACGAACTGCTCTCGAGCCCCGTTCTTTCGGACAACACCTTCGTAGGACCGACTCCTGAGACAGCCATCACAACCTAGATGGTTCCAACCTGGGGCTGAGGGCTTAGATATATAAAGGAAGGGCTCTCATGGGTTGTCCATGGCCATGGCGCCTGGAGGTTGCGATGCGTCTGCCGCTCTTCCGCAGGCATCGCTGCCTGCCAGGGGGCGGGGGACGGGACTTCCGGGCCGAGGCTTCGGGCACTGGCTCCCGGCCTCCATGGACAGCCACTCTGTCCTGAAGCACTGTAGAATGAGAGGATGCGAGCTGGTTGCCGGATGCAGATCTCCGGATCCCTGCAAGGACTCCGGTAGGTTTTGGAGTCTCCACTCTGCAAAAAACAACTCAGCCCGATGAGTTCTTTATCGGCTTCGGCCCCGATGCGGGAAAGAACCACAAGGACCTACCTTGGCCTAAGCCTCTTTGCTTCTTTGCTGAGGCCCGGGCTGGGAGAGCGAATTGGTGGCGCTGGTCTTGTTCCTTGCTGGAGGCTTCTTGGACGATGTGCAGGATGTAGGGCTACTGTGGAAATGAAGGGTGGAACCTACCTTTGCTTGAAGGGCTCTATTGGTGCTTGGGGGTCCCTTCCCAAGCAAGCCTGTGAGGATGGAGGTTTCAGCCTCAATCCTCGAAATTTTTGCCGCCCAGCCACTTCAGGACGATTGCGTCCATTTCAGGAACCGGCACGCCATTCTCGCCACAGATGTTATCCACCTCGGCACAAGCCAGCCATAAACCCAAAACCCCGGCTTGCTTCAAAAAGTCTTCAATACAGGACTTTGTATCCCTAAAGCAAACCCCAAAGCACTAAACCCCCAAAGCGCCCCAAAATGCCCAAACTCTTGCAGGAAGGTCGCTGCGTCGACCTTGCGCTCTTCGTATTCCTGCACAACGCTCTCCAAAGCGTCGAACACTTGAACCCCAGAATGCCCTAAAACCCTAAACCAATAAACCAAAACAGCCTGAAACCCCAAAAGCCGCAAAACATCGACATATACATATAAAAACAACAAGTTCCTAGAAGCCCCTTTGAGGGGCCCTGCCCTTGCTTGGGCTCCCGGCCTTGCCGAGGCGTCTCAGGTCCTTCCTTGGCGGGGCTTTGATGGTAGAGGAAGCGGCTTCGAGAGCTGAACCTCTTTTGGCGGGTTTCCGGTGAGTTTGGGGGAGGGGGGTGTGGGGGTTTCGAGAAGCTTGGGTCTCGGCCCTAAAGGTTTCGGAGGGTTTGGGCCTGAAGGTATTAAGGTTTTCGGCTGATGTGTGCGAGTCTTGACTTAAGGCTGCTCGTTGTCGGAAGGCCGTCAGGCCTCATGGAAAGGATAGATAGCCTCAACACCAAAGCCTCACTCCGATTCGAAGCGATGCACCCCTGAGAACTTCTAGATTGGCGAAGAGAGAAACACACCCAAATCGCCCGCTTCATGAGAGGAACTACTTGGCCCTAAAGCTTGAACACCACTTCATCTCAAAAAGGCGGACCAATCGAAAGAGTTGCTTTGCGAACAAGCCTCTCTCGGAAACCCAACAGACCTGAATTGAATTATCGCCGGAGCTGAATAACCTGTCCAAAACATCCTCAAGCCCGAAAGCCTCACTTGAACCTGGGACGGCCGAGAGACTTCTCTTCCAGGTCAAGAGCTCTCAAAACATTCCTCAGACGTGCGAGGCTGCCAAGGGTCTGAGTTTGGGGTTTGAGAGGTTCGGGTTTCAAGGCCTCAGGCTTTGCGCTCTAAGTCTTCGGGCTCTTTATGGTTTGGAGGCTCACAGTTCAAGGCTTACCAGGCTCAAGCTGTGCAAAGGGATTTGGGGCGGAACGGTGGAGCTGATTATCAGGGGTTTTGTCATTGAGGTTTCGGGCTTTGTGCCAGGATCACGGATCCAAATGGCTTCAGAGTTTGGGGTCTGTGGGCTTGTCGACTTGTAACGACAAGCCCTGAGTCCTGAAAGTCTGACCCGGCAACCTCCCGAGCCTGAACCCTGCAAAAAAACAACGTTTCAACACGCAACCCAAAGCAGAGTGTGAATGCCGCCGAGCAGCCAGTGAACCTGCCAAGTTTTATGAAACACCGCTAACGCTGTGCACTCGCACCAAGGCAAGCGTGCGCCATGAAACTAACAGAGCAGGGGTTTCGAGACCTAAACCCCAAGAGCCACCCCCTATCTATCGGTCGGCCTCCTCCTCGGTAAGGACGCGCCCTCCACATTTCTGGGTCATGCGCGGCCGGGGACTCAGCTGCAAGGAGCCTCGAACTCACTCTTCGGGGGAGCGTTTAGCGGCTTTAGGGCTTGGGCTTTCGGATTGTAGGGTCTAGCATTGAAAGTTTCAGGGGCTTTTGAGCTTCAGGGTTTAGGGTTTGGCTTGCTTAGGGTTTCAAAGACTTGGTACTAGTAGGACCGGGACAAGGCGACCCAGTATCTACGAGCTAAAACAAACCGGTCATGCCTCCCAGCACGCTGCGGATATCTAGCAAAACATCCGAGAAGTTGCGACGTTGGGTGCAAGATTCCCAAACTCCCAAACGCACCAAATCCGAGCTTGCCGACGACCTTCAAAACCCAGACCCTGGCCTCCGGTGTGGGCAGCAAACAGGCGCCAAAGAGCGGCTGCAGGTCACAAGATCTTATTCAAATCTTACAAAGGGGTGCTGTTGCTAAACTTCTGCTAGAATTGTGAGCCTGCTCTCGGGTGCTAAAGATCTCAGAAACCGAAGTTCTCGGCGTTGGACTTCACTGGAGCCAACAGCGAGAAGGCTGGCTTTTGGCGAAAGGCTCTCACACAGCAGCATGGCACGTGCAGAGTTTGGTGTCTAAGGCTTGTAGTCTCGTGAAGGGAGGGGATAGTATGTCAAGACAGGCGATGTAGCGAAATCCCTCGACAGGCTATGGTTTTCATCACCGCTTCACCTGCTCTCGATCTGCGATGACCTCCTCCTCCTCCATCCTACTACGACGGCGCAGCCCACCATCACCACCACCGCCAACACCAAGAACAACCACGACGACGACGCCGACGACGAACAGGAACAACGTCAACGATGCTGCAGAAGCACCCGTGGCGCCAAGAGACCACGCCTGCCTCCTGCCGAAGCGGACTTAAAGCTGTTTTCGGGCTCCAGCACTTTGGGCTCTCGCTTCCAGCGAGCCTCCCCTCTCGCACGAAGACCTTGGAGCGGAGGCCATCAGGCCATGGTCGTGGCTTCGCGGCTACCTCTGGACAACAGCTGGCTCTGCCCTCTTCGGGAGGCCAGAAGCTTTACAATCCAAGCTCGCAACGCCCAGATCGATGTGGCGAATGACAACAGTCTTCACACGGGAGCAGAGCAGTGCCTCTTTGTCTCCAGCCCTCAATCTCCGAGCTGCGACGAGGACTCGGGCCCTCACGGACAAGTTAGGCCTCCATATCTCGAGGCTCGAGGCTGTGTAGCTCTTAACTGAAGCTCTGCAAGGAGTTGGCTTAAGATCTGCCCGGCAGTGGCTGTTCGTTGGTCTCCTGATCCTTCTGCTTCCGACAGTCGAGAGATTCGAGATTGCTTCTCGAAGCATCGTCGTGCTCATGCCCGGAGGGGCATCGTTGAGCCACGACCTCCAGGCTTTTCAGCAGCAGCTCCATCTGTTTCACAAAATGTCCGGGCGTTTTGTGGTTGCAAAGATTCCTTAGCACCATAGCCACTTCTGGATGCTTTGGGCCGTAGTCCCGCACGGCAATCTCGATGCTGCGCTCCAACAGTTCCTTCCTCCAGCGTTGATCTCCGAGATCGTCGATAGCCACGGACAGATTGGAGAGAGCCAGGGAGATGCGGGGGTTATCTGGATCGCAACTTCCTTCCAGGACATCGAGCAAGCGGATGCCAAGCTCGCTGGCCCGTTGCGCCTGGCCGGCTCGCATGCATGTTTCCATCAGCTCGCCGACAGCCAAGATTCCCACGGCCGTGTTCTGCTGATTCCGGGTCAAGGCGTAGCCCACCTCCCAGCATGGCAGCTCGCAGCGCGCCCGGTACTCCGCTTCCGCCACCTCGTGCCGCTCCGACATCGGCAGGCTCCGAGCCTCCGCGAAGTCCTGGCGCAGATCCTCCACGCCCATGATCGCCGGCTCGACGTACCATGGCTCGGGGCCGAAACCCCGGCGGCAGAGCTTTGGGCTCTCCACGAGCTCCGGCCAGCAGAGGATCTGCGGACCTTCCATGCCCAAGACAAAGACGTGCACCAACTCGGGCTTCCGCATGTACCCGAAGGCCCAGCCGCAGGCCTTCGACCTCGGCGTCCGTTGACTCCGACTGCGGGCTTTCAGCAGCGTCCGCTGCTAAAGTTTGGGAGACGGGTTGCTTTACACGTGACGATCTTCCTCAGTGGAAGTGGCACACAACCATGCTGGAGGCAACAAAGGACCGTCGCGAACTGAAGCTGCTGTGTGAAGAGATGTTGTAGACTGGGCCGTGCCGCATTCTTGGAGTATCTCCACCCCGACTTGCTGTGCAACTAAAGATGATCGTGCTGTGCTGTTGCTCCCAGTGCCACTATAGTGTCCTAGTGTGTATGCCTCTAAGCTTCCGGCAGAAAGTAGTGCGTCGTCAGCTGCAAGATGAGGATGCCGTGCCGCGTCCGCGCCGCAGCCTCCTTGTAGCGCAGGAACCAGGCTGTGGTTGGGAACTCGCGCGGCGACTGGGTCGGCTCTCCGCATAACGCGGCATCCCAGCGCCCCTGGCACAGCCCCGTCTCCATGCACTCTTCCATTCCCAGCGATCGGTCGTGGCAGAAGCTGACAGCGCCTTACATTCAGTAAACCCGTGGCTACCTTGCATCGACAAAACATGCCTGGGTTCAGACTCTGCAAAGCCTGCGAGACTTAAAGTGGATGCCGAGGTGCGGAATTCTTTCTTGAAATGCACGCCCTGCCCGAGCTGATGCAGGATGAGGTTGTTGGTGATGTTGCTGGGGGTGACGAAAGAAACGAGGAAGTCGGCCTCCGAGGCCTCTGTCGTGCCATCCGGCTCCGCGCAAGCTATGCGAGCATCGGAGTCGATCGGCTTCCACTGCTTGCGCACCAGCTGCAGCCTCTCGCGCACTTCGCCGTCCTCCGACAGCTTGTCCGCCCGGGCGAAGTCCCTCTGTGCTTCGCCGGACTTGCCCAAGATCTCCTTCGCGATGCCACGGCCGTTGTAGGCCGCAGCAGAGTGTGGATCCACCTCAAGCGCCATTTGAAAACACATCTCCGCCTCCGATGCCTTCCCTTGGCAGAGCCACCGCCAGCCCAGGGCTACATTATCCTCGCAGCGCTTGTCGCGAAGCCGAAGCGCCTCCTTCGCAGCGGCTCTCACTTACGAGAGAAGGACGAATAGGCACACGGCTACAAAACCATCTCTCAAAACCCCGGCTCTGACTCTCTCGCGGACCTCCTCTCGCACGTCGCCAGGAGCTTCGGAAGCCATGCCCGAGCCTGCACTGTCCATGTTGCGAGGAGTTCAAGGATCTCCCTGACTGAGTGAGACCAAAGGAGCTAGAAGAACCGGCGACCTAAGTACTTCGCTGGCTCTTTCAAGATGAGAGAGACAGAGAGAGACAAGAAGATACGGGGAGAGCGGACTGCACCCGAAGTGATCCTAACCCCTCCAAACCCCAAGGACGGATGCCTCCTGTCGATACTCGGCCAAGAGCCACGGACAGGGAGTCAAGGAGAGTCTCCGACCCTTTGAGCCCAACGCAGCTCTTTTTTAAGGGGTCACTTGTAGAGTTTTGCTTGGGTATATGCTGACTATGCTGACCAGCGCTTCGGGCAGCTGCAGAAGCTCAAGCCCGAAAAGTCCCGTGGAGGCGCCTACACCCAGCCAACCGTCGGCTTGTCAGGTCTAGAGTCTAGTTTTCGTTGCACCCGGACGGTTCTGCTCCTCACCGAAGCATCTGTACGCACAGAGCAGGTGAAGCAGGCAGGCAGCTGCCAACTGCGAGCAAACCTGCCGTAGAGATAATGCAAAAGGCTGCTCAACTTGGAGCCAGTTCTGGAATCAAACGCCAGCATCCTTTCGACGCTCAGCATCCTCACGATGCTGAGGCTTCCTCAGGTGCGCACACTACTTCGATGGAAGGTGCTCTCTGACAGGACCTTTTCTGAGAAAGCTTTTATTGGACCACTCCAAGGCTCACAAGCGTGACTGAGCAGGCCAGCTCACCTTCGCGCTGTTGGCCTGGAGCATCGTTGCGGCCTGCTCCACCATCCTGAGACGAGCGTCGCTATCCCTGTTTTAGGAACCCTAAACCCTGAATCCTGAAGAATCCTGAACCCTGAGGACTTTGGGGCTTTTTGCTTTTTGGGGCCGAGACTCTGATCGACAATGGTCTTTGCAGGCAGAACGTCGGTGATCATGCCAGCGACTTGTCCACAAAGCCACGGATGACCTGGAAGCGCTGAGGGAAAGAACAGTCACGAGAACTGACAGGCGCAAGAGTCCCTGCCGCGAGCTTCTCGTATGAATAAGAACCGAAGCTGCGGTTTCTACTAGAAGGATTACGCACAACACTATGAGCAGCAGTGGTAGTGGCAGTTTTGCGCTTGTCGGTGATGAGTCCAGTTTCGCCGGCCTGATTCAAGACCGACAGGAACAGGAACATCCTGATGCTTTCCTGCCGGAAGGTCCGTCCGAGTTTCAATAGAGCTGCGTTGGAATTAGGCTTGGCTAAACAGCACCCGCAAAAGTTGAAGAAGCTTCCACACAGAACAGAATTCAGGCTGTTCTGAGTGTGAATCGCGCGAAGGGTCTTTCCCGTAGTCTGCGACACGTGAGTGCCTACGTCTATCCCGAAGTTGACAATAATATCCCCTATATGATTTCCGTAGTGCTTCCCACAGAGCCCCTACAAGAACTCTCTTACCTCGTATTTTAAAGTCCCAAACCCCCCCGGATGTTCAGATCATGCGCAGAGCAGAAAGGCTCTCCTTGGAGCTTCTCCTCCATGAGCTTCTCGTCTTTCTTGTATGGAATCAGCCCTTGGGGTGAAGCAGAGATTGAGGGTTTCGGTTATGTGTTCAAGGATTTGAGGATTAGGGTTTCAAGGGTTCAGGGCTTAGGGTTTGGCAAACAGAAAATCCGAGAACCCCGGCCTGACTTCAAGCATTCCCTCATCTCCTTGGAGCGATCCTCCTCCCAGCCTGACGCGGGAGCTGAAGAGCCCATGCTCAGAGCAACTGTCAGTCTCAGCAGGATCATCTTGCGCCCGGTTGCTGCAGCTCATAGCTAGTAGTTCTTACTTGTAGCTCAATGTACCTTGTGAATGGCAGCAGATAGAATGCAAAACAGAACAGCTGGAAGCCCTGGTAGGTATTGGGTCTTACGTCGAAGAATACTGCACGGTGATGGCGGGAGTAGCCGAAGTAGTGCTTGAAGCTTGAAGTACTCGTAGCAGGCGTAATCACGCTGCTGAGAACAACAAAAAGCTGTAATCATGATCATGTGCCTACTATCGCTCAGAAGCCACCACAACTGAGCTCAACTGGAACAGCACCTGCTGACGGTGATGATTATGGATTATGGTGATGATGATGATGATGATGGTGAAGGTGATGACCAGCGACTGCAGGTTAAGGTCATTGTTGTCGTCTCTCTTCGTCAGCGGCATCATCATCATTCATTATCATCAACTCGGTTATAGTGTCTGCATCGTTACCTTCGGTGCCACCAGGCGTGTGCCCGACCACCATCAGCAAGATCAAGACCACTATGATCATCATCTTCATCGTCATATCCGTGACCATCATCGCCACGATCATCATTTTCATCCTGACTGAGCATCAACACCAGCAGCAGCCGCGTCATCATCATCATCATCATCACCATCATCATCGTCAGCAGCAGCAGCAGCAGCAGCAATAACATACTAGTCAGCAACATCGTTTTCGCCATCATCATAATCGAAAGAGGAAGATGATAAAGATCATCGTCATCATTGAACTGATCAGCACCAGTGCCAGGATTGAGCAGTTCATGGTCGCCAGCTTTCCGGCGAGGCGCTCACGGAATACTTGTTCTTGATGATTCTCATCGGACGGCCAGTGTAGATCTCTGTCCGGTGGGTGTCGTGCACGCTCGCCTTGCAAAGATCCTCAGCTTTCTCGGTCGTCGGCCGTAGACCGCAGCCCATCAATGCCCCAGCAAAAAGATCATGACCTGCTACCTATCCTTTGTGATTGTTAATTACTGATAGCAACACCAGTCATGGAATGGGACTGCAGCTCACAGCTCTCGACAAGTGGCCTCCTTGTGCTTCGGGGGTGCGCCTCCTTCAACCGAGGCAACGAAACGCGTTCCCACCCAAACACCATCCGCGCCCAGCGCGAGGGACATGGCAAGGTGGCGGCCGTCCTCTTCAGTTTGGAGGGTCAGCATCGTGGAAACTTATATTAAGAGAAATAGAGCCATATGCAACAGTACATCATGGTAGAACTACATGTGATGTGGCTTCGGGATGAGATCTCTTGTGGCTCCCATCATGACAAGGCTCTGCGATACCGCCAGCGGCCACGACAGCAACTTGCTTTCCGGTCAGAGGAGACTTGTGACCCTTGCACATATCCACCACCATTGGGATCAGGATGCCTCGACTGTCGGGGTACAACTCTGTGGTATCGCAGAAACGGCAAAACTAAAGCCGCCTTTGGCAGAACTTGCTCCGGCCTGTGGCAACGTCTCCGGTGTGGCCTCCGCCTTCACCGCCCTGAGCGCAGATGATGTCAACGCCGGACTCCAACGCCTTGCTGACGTGCTTGGGAGCTCCGATCCTTGCGCGACACAGCAAGGTCTGGACTTGCGAAGTTGGCGCGTTGGCGCTGTGCTGCATATGCTCAGAACTATCAGCCAAGGGGCATGTTCATGACGGGAATACCGGCAGCGTGAAGCTTGTCAACCGCGAACTTCGGAGGCACGCCGACAGCGCAGACGAAGAGCTTCGCGCCCATCCTTCCAGGTGGATGTGTGAAAGAACAAAGTCCACGAAGGCTCACTGTTCAGGGCTGCCTGCCTTACATACTTGGCACCCAAAAATCCCTGAAAATACCGCCAAATCCTAAACCCTCCAAACAAGGCTCTCGATGGTGATGTCGATGAGCTCCGGGAGGTCTCCTCCGGTGTAATCGTAGTTCGTTGCACGGGCGTCACCCCCCACCTGCGGAATCAAAAGGTCCACCTTGGCTCAGTCTAGCCACAATCCCAGGCTCCGATCATCCACAATCGAAGTTGTTCAGTGAAGACCGAGGAAGAAGCCCGAAACATGCCCACGTCATATGACGAAGACAATGAGAGTGACGATGGCTGCGACTGCCCTGTGGGGTAGGAACCTTTGCTTTCAGATTGCAATCCAAGCCGCACCGAACGGCGCATTCTTGTCATTTAGCTTCTCCTTCAGCTCCTGACCGCTCTGAAGGACCCCGACCCTTCGAACCCAAACCTAAACCCCTAAGCCTTAACACCCCTACACCCCAAACGCCCTGTACCCAAACAACAAACTGCAGCGGAAATTGAAGCTCAGCTCCTCAAGCTTCGCTCGAAACATCTTCGGCTTGTAGTTGACCTGGGAGGGAGTCTAGGGGTTTCTGGTTATGAAATCGGAGCTTCTGAGCTTAGGAGAGAGTCTTGGTTTTGGGGTTTAGAGGTTTGGTTTGGGGGATTAAGGGTTTAGAGGTCCGGCGCGTTTAAGGCGTAGCTCGAAGGCCGTCGTCGGAATGAAGTTTCGTGTGTCTTCCACGGCATTCCAACCCCTGCCGGAACTACAAACCGCTGAGCACCACACGTTCTGAAGCCCCCCGAAAAAACTAGATCCCCTCCAAGTCCCTCTATCCTCATGGTATATAGTGTATCCCAAACTCGATTCTAAGTCTTAAGCCCAAGCTGAACCCGAAGACAGAGGCTGACAAGGCTCACCGCCCCAGACGCCCAAGCCACCTGCGTTTGTAACCTGAGGGCGAGGAAACGGACAAGGATCTCTTGGGAGCCCTCTTGGATTCAGGTTTCAAGCGGAAGGGCTAGTCGTCAGCAAAGCAATGCAGAAGAAGCACTTACAGATGAAGACATAGCGCGAACAGACAAACATCATCCGCAGCAGCCTCAGCAGCACAAATTCATCTAGAGCCTGCACGACAGTCTGCAGGGTCAACTACCGCAAAACCAACTCCGGACTCCTGAAGCGCTGCAGGCTGAAAGCTTCACTGTTCTGAAACCGTGAACCCTACATCCCGAAAGCTTCAAACTGCTTTGCCGTGGCACAGCGGCTGCCAGCTCGGGGCTCGCGGCGATGTTCATACCTCACAGGCTCCCAAGGGTCAGGAAAACAACGAGAGTCCTTCGATTTTACAAGGGATTGGAACGAGGAGCATGCCATCAACTCTGTCGCAACATGTGAGGTAAGCCGCCGACCGGCGAGCATGATCGGGTGCTGAATGCCAAACATCTCCGTTATCGGAGTGCTGATCTTTGGCAAGGCCATGGTCACCAAGGCCCCTCTGTGGACGTGGTCACCAAGAAACCACAGGGAAGACGATCAAGGGCTGAGAGCCGGCACGGCCGCGGTCGCAGGAGTCGAAGCAAGTATGCGCTGTGCGGCGACTCTTTGTGTCTTTTTAATCGCAGTGTATCAATGTAAATGTTTTGAAACATGACATGTCTGGATCCACTAGACTCCGAAAGCAACTATGCTCAGAGAAGCTACAACGCGTGTGGAAGTAGCACAAACAAAGAATTAACTGCGCTACAACGCATGTGGAAGTAGCAAAAACAAAGGTATAGCAGTGCCGCCAGCTGCTCTTGCAGCAGCAAAGAAGCAGCTAGGAAGCACTGGGAGAACACAGATTGCGTTCCAGCGTGATGATTGTCCAAGCAAAGCCTCTCGACTACGAGGCCTTCCCTTGTCAACCCGAGCACGCCACGGCAGGCCCTTGCCAGGGACTGTGTATATTTCACCTAAACACATGCGGGTTAGGCCTGGGACATCTTACGCAACCACAGTCAAGATCTAAATCAAAAGCGATAGACGCACACAGTGGCCTCATGCAGCGAACCATGTTTGGGTTTGATGCAGGGCAGGCGCGTCTGAAGCAACGATCATGTGACCTGATGAACACCACTCGGAACATCTTCCATGCTGGAATTCAATACAAACGTAAGATCCGGGGTACAAGCGTCTTTCTCGCTTATGAATGTTCAAACTTGCAGCTAAACTTGCTGCGCACTACAAACACCCATGCTCGTGGAATGCTCAAAGGCGGATTCGCAATTGCATCGACAATATTGCATTGTATTGTAGCAACTTAGCGGACAAGTCACGGCAGTGCTGTAGTGCTCCGTCGCGTGAGTGAATAACCCCGCCCAGCTTTCCACTTGGGTGGGGCTCGCAAAGAGTACCCTTATCAAGTGGGTGGAAGCCCTTAGCGGTGGCCGTAGACGCGCGAGCGGAAGATCGCCCATCGGTTCCATCGAGAAGTACGGCCACAACGCAGGACATGCAAAAGCCCAAGGCTGCATGTTAATAAGGCAGACTGGATGGCGTCGTAGAGTCTTTCTGGGCTTTTTTGGCTTGACTGGGCCTCGTCGACTACGGCTGTAGCACTCGGTCCCTACAAACAAGCAAAACTACAATCCAAACAACAAACAACTACAAAGCGGTGAAACAGCGAAGCGAAGCTCTACAAAGGGCTGCGGTGCACAGGCTTTGCCGGTGTTAGCCGTTCAGCACAAACTACGGAGCCTCAGCGACCGGTCAGGAGCAACAAAGAGCCGTCGCTCAGAGCTGCCCAAAACAACAGGTGGAGCCGAGTCCAAGCTCCGGTTGCCGTTCTAGTCTCGCCAGACAACGGACAACCCCTGTGTTTTGTTCCGTCGCGGTCGTGCACACCAAAATCCAAAAGTCCACGGACCTTGCGTGCGTGGGTGGCTTTCTGATGAGGAGTGCGAAGACAGTGCCGCAGGTACGCAACGCGCTCATGCAACCGCCGACATTGGAAACACACGCCAAGGGGACAAGCCCAGTCGACCCTTAGGGTGCAATCGCCTCACCTTTACGGTCAATCTGCCGGCATCCACCAGTGAGAAGGTTGCCCGACCACGACACGCCAGTGCGCATGGTTGTCGCCGCCAACAGAAGCAAACGATGTACCAAGCCGAGAGCAGGAACACCGGGTCAGCCGCTAGGGCAGGCAGAGATCGCCAAGGCATACATTGACGTGCGAGTCACCCGCTACCACAGCATCGGCGGACCGTTGTGGCGGCCATGGCAGCCATTGAAGGCACCATTCATAGGTGGAGACAAACGACGGACAGGTGAAATGGCGAACGACGTATGTCGCAGGCAGGCGGCAAAGCTTAGGTGCACACAGCACGCATGCGGCAAAGGTGCGTGGGGGCACCTGGCAGGAGTTGTAGTTGCGGTGCTGTACTGTCCGCAGAACGGAACGGGGCGGCATCCAACCTTCAAAGACGTGGCCGCCGAGTTTGCCAGCAACCACCGGCAAGCCATCAGACAAGCCGTACCCCTCCCGGCAACCTCAGGGTGGAGGCCTGGTAACGACCCCCGCGGACAACGTCGTGCGGGGCATGGCGTTCTCCGCGCGTGGATCATCCGGGAGGAACTGCACCCACGCCCAGCGGATCCGCCCCTCGAAGAAGGGCACAGTTGACCCATAGTAGTGCGGCCGGGATCTAGGCGAACGTGACAAAAACGAGTCGATGTCCGCCGAGGAGTGCAAACCGAAGGCAAGGACCATGTCAGCCATGGCCCAACCTGCAGAGCCACGGCAGCCCCTGTGTGAGTCCGGTCTCGAGCGTGGGCACCATCGCCCAGGTCCGAGCTCAAGGCTGTGGTGCAAAGGTGGGTTCCCGCATGAATGACATGGAGGGTGACAATAGACTCAACGACGTATGTCGTCGGTCGCCAAAGATGCCACCGGGGAAAAGGTTCACAATGAACTGCCTAATCCCATTGTCCCGTTTCAACCAAGTCACCCCGAGCCCAAGTTCCTAAGCCATTTTGCAAGGTGGTCGGTTTCCGAACAGGGGGTGTATCGAAACGGTGGCGATGGCCTACCTGTCCACGCAGGTTGGGCCCGACCTCGGCTAGGCGACGCTGAGGCCGAGGTGAACCCAATTCGGCTGGCTCGAGAGATAGAAACAGGAGCAACGACGTATGTCGTCGGTCACAGGAGCGGCTAAGGGAGACTGACTGTCAACTGGAAGAGCCAGCCGCAGCTGAGCGCGGCCGGCTATCGAGCAGGCGCTGCATGTCACGACCGCTCGAGGGAAAATGGCGCTCATGCAAGAGATAGAGCAACTGGTAATTGCCCTCACGACGGATTTCCGTGACTCTGCGGTATGTGTATTGGTGAGTATCCTGGTCGGGGGCATGCAGATGCGGCATGAGGTCGGTGGATATGCATGGTAGCTGGAGGCCAGGTCTGAGCCCTCCTTCGCTGAGGAACTCATCTGCCGCTGCCTTCCAGCTTTCCTGCGCCCAGGGATGCCCCAACCTGACCCAGGGACGCTCGCCATCCGGCTGCTCCTGTGTCTGACTCTCCTCCCGGGCGACCAATCGGTGAATGAGGGCCATCGCCTTCGAGTCAGCCGCGTCGAAATGCGCAAAGCGCCATAAGCGGACTGGGGAATAAAAGTCCTTTTTTTGTGGCCCCCGTATCCAATAAGCCACAACCGCCCGGAGATCCCATCCATCAGAGGTAGCCGCAGCACGAAGGCGCCACAATGCACTATTCAATAGGCCCGCGGCCTGAATCGAAAGAGAGGGCTGTGCTTGTAGACCCAGTGGGATGTCCGCAAGCGGAAAGAGCAGGCGAAAGGTGCCTCGATACGCTCCCGGATACATAAACATTCGCGGATCAAACTCGCCGCGTCTGGCTGGAAGGAGTCCACTCTCGAAACACGTCATCAGCCGGTCAGCAATGGCAATTTGGGGCTGGCCGACCAGGGTAGCCGGCACTTCGCATCGGACTCTCACCTCTAGGTGCTGACCGTCACGAGTCGGCGTAACGTTGGCGAGCTGTAAGAGTGGGGCAGCCGCAGGGTCGTCAGCCAGTGCCCGCGCGAGATAAAGCAGCAGCTGGACCGGCAACAACACACCACAGTGAAGGAGAGGGGTCCCTTGGTGCGTGTCAACGTTGCGGCTGCCTGCCGGCAGGTTCCCTCGCTTGGGAGCCAAGGACATTTGCACCAAACTGCCGTCCCGAACTGGAGACTTACGTCCTTCCAAGGCGCAGGGGAGCGACCCTTTATGTCCAGCGAGCTCATCTAAGAGCAGCCACCACCAAATCTCCGGCCGAGCGAGCTCATACCAGGACAGGTCGAAAACTTGCCCTTCAGGTAGGCGCAGAACTGGGTCGCAAAACTGGGCTAGTGCGACTGTAACAAAACAAACGGACTTTTGCGCACACACTTGAGCCTCGGTTCGCACACGGTCTTTGGTAAGCTTTGCACAAGCAAAACACTACGTGGAAAAGGTGGTTCCGGTTTCGGGTAAAAGTCTGAAACACCCCTTGAACAGCGCACCTCCAAAGTGGGCTGTTCACACTCAAACTGGACAAAGAAAGTGCTTCTGCAGACGTTTCGTCTACCGCCCTTCGGGCACTGAAGTACACTTTGGTTACACTGTACATGCCACTGCTTTAAACACTGGTGATGGGCCTCTTCTTGCGGAGGAAAACTTTTGTTCTAGTCCCATGCACCATCTACAGGATTATGCAACAGCGTATGTGTGAGCATGCCATCTTCGGGGCCTTTCTTGATCAACACTAGAAGCTCACAACTTGATACAAAGCATGGCGTTCGCTTACCTCAGGCTCTATACAAACTACAAGCACAGTCGCGATTGCTGTATCGGACACTACAGCCTTACATCGCCAACGGAGAAAACTCAACACTTACAGGCTGAGTAAACAAAAGCGTGGCTCACTGCCCAGTCTCAGCGCTTCGAGGTCGGCACTGCTTACAAGGACGAAGTTCTTTGCGCTGGGCTTCGGCTCGACTGATTTGCGAAACATTCTCAGGTAGATCAGCAAGCCAACGCTGAACCATACCGCAACTCCTCTTGTGGAACCCTTTTTTACGCTTAGCCTCACCAACGATGTACACCATGTCTGCGTGCGGCTCGTGCGGCATCTGATCTTGCTCTTGGTTCTCTACGTCAAAGTTTTGGGGTTCACCTCCACGATCATTGCGAACGTAACCCTGAATCTCTCCCTGAGCCGCCTCATCTACTTCACCATCGTCACCCTCATGCACATAGCTCTGGACATAAGCTTCTGCGGCACCTCCTTCATCATCATCACTTCGCGGAAACACTTCATCCCAAGTATCAAAGAGGTTTTCATGGATGTAGTCGTCGTAAGTCATGCAACCATCCCGCGGTTCAAGAGGTTGTTGTTGTGTTGAGCCGCGCCCTCGATCTCGATTCCACCGTCGCGGGGGCATGTAGATCACTACCACAAG